GTCAACGGTGGAATACACTAGAAAGTTTACTGCTTGAAGTGAGATTCTTCTTATCATCCTCATGGTATATTTATCAAAGGTAGTCAACTACTCAAAGCTATAAATAGCTACATATGAGGTTAATCTCAGTTAACTAACCTTAGTCAACTACTTAACCAGAGTTTACATCAACACGCGCGTCTATTGTCTTATCCACTCGCGGATTTGTGTGTGATCCGCATGCACTCCTTCTTTATTTTGTCTGTTCGCGCATATGACTCAATTTGCTTGTACATCTTAATTCATCTCGGATGTACTTTACCTAACTGTCATTGTTTGAGTTTATGTTGATGAATGTGTCTACTTCTATCTTGTCACATTCTCACATCGTGTGTTTGATTCATTAGCTCCAACTTGTTCACTTGTCAAATTGAAAGGTTACAAGAAACCGTCTGAATTCAAAAAACATTGTGATTTTGCAGTTAGATGATTTGTCATCATTACTTCAACCTGGATATGTTACACGCCACAAAATTCAAACGCTTTGGTATCATTTGTAAGCATATAATCGAGAATTTATAAAATATAGTGACAAAAAAAACACATAAGTACACACGACATCAAGATAACGTGACTCATCACAAAGTGCTATGTCCACGACTCGTAAGATGAGGCAAAAGATGTGAGGTTATATATCCCAAGTCAAGAAGCCAAAGGTTGCTCCAAAACATGAGTTAACTTCTATGAGATGCTTATATAAAGAGAATTTTTATTCTAATATTATGACGTATGTTAGAGATCTCAAAAGTCTTCATAGTTGATACAATTAACGTTTAGATGTTCATTTTGTTTCTATTTTTGCTCAAATTAATAACTTATCTCTATTTCATTGAGATCATACTTGCTAACAATACATTTGTTCATCTTGTTACTCATGCTAATGCTAGTTTTGATAATTTTTATAACAATTGATGCATAAGTTTGAACATTCAATGACATAAAATATAAGTTAATTTTTCACTTCTTGCAAATGCTTCAATCTATCTTTTTGCATTGTTGCAAATCTGTATGAAATAAAAGTATGTAGTTTTGTTTTTTAGCTTTTTGCATTAGATTTTTCTTGAAGATTATCAAAATTAATAATAAAATATGATTTTGTATAGTGTAAGATGTGATTGATGAAAAAAATTGTAAGTCAAGTGAGTGTAAAACTAGCAAAAATAGGGAGTAAAAGATGAAAAATACTAGTATCCAATATTCATTCAATAATATTTTGATTATTTGACAGTGATGAATTTTGTTTGGTTAGTTTTACATAGATATCATGACGATACCAACAAAATTTTATCTTATTGTTTGGTTTGAGATTACTAAGATGTATCATCATCATAAGATGTATTTATAATCTTTTGATTGTGAAATCAATATGAACGAAAAAAACTTTCACATGAAAGATTAATATGACATAACACTATCGAAGTATATATATTTGTTGTTTTTTGATTACAAAATGAACATAAACTATCAAACATTTGATGCAATAGTACTAGCATGCATCACCAATAAAAGACATATTTATCATACTTTGATTATAAAGTCAACTTTGACTAACAAATATATGTCAAGGTTGAAGAAAAAAATATTATTTAAAACTAAAAAAAAATCAAATAAAATGAATCAAACACACAAATTTTTGTGAATCTAATGTGTTGAAAGTTTTATTTTTTGCAATCAAAGATTTTTGCATATCAAAAAGATTGATATACATCTTTAAACAATCACGTTAACAACTTGATCTCTTACATTTTTCATTAATTTGTATTGATTACATTGTATTTGACGGATTGAAAAACGTAGACAATGTGAAAAAACTATGTGAAGATTATGCAAAAAATGACACAATGACAAGATCATCAATCTTGTTCATGTACAAGATAATCTAACAAATTAATGATCAATTTTGAGAGTTTGAAGAGGTAAAAAGAATATTACTTACCAATTTAAAATTTATATTGAAAAAACATTTGCAACTATAATATCTAAAATTTCTAGTATTCATATATTGATCATACGCAAATATTTTTTGAAAAATCATCATTCATATTACCAACGCATGTCTCTTCACCTCACACTTGTATATAACATATTATGGTGGACGAATTACATCATTTGGTATGAGTAGTTTGTTAAAATTTCAACTATCTAGTTATTTTAATGTCTATTACCTGACAATAAAATTAATTGATTAACCAAATTTCACGAACTTATGCAATCTTTTGACAAGCCAAGCAATTTGAAGAAGAAGTTATATTGTGGAGTTTGTAAGAAGTAATCTTAGTGTCATGTGATATTTGAGACTGAAAAAAAATGACAGATTATGAAATATCTGATTGATAGGTGACGTCTTTGTGAAGTTTTAAAAATGTGAGAGTTAACATCTTAAAATTCCAATCAAATAAATATAATAAAACTGTTTCTTGCAATATTGATGTATTAATATAGAATATATATATATAATTAAGATCAACTGTATGATTATTTAAATGTATTGTTGTTATGAAAAAAATATATACATGGTTTGAATGAATGTTTGAATGATCAATTTTGACATACATTGTGCATGTATCTATGTAACTATCCAAATATTCACACATGAATCAATTGAGATTAATGTTGAGGTTGAATTCTAAAAGAAAATGGTTTCTTTCATCTTGTAAAATTGTCTAGATCATTCAATCCAACAAAAATCTAGTATTTGATTGAAAATGATTTCAATGACTATTATTTGATTGCTTTAATATCCATATTTGATAGTAAAAGAGTGGTTACATTATGTTTAATTTTGAATGCAAATGTATATAGTGGCTAAAGAAGCATAATTTGCATAAAATTGCAATCTTTGTGTCAAACCTCCCCACCATCTTGTAAGCCATCTCAAATTTGTAATTTTAAAGATATGTATTTGTGTGCAATTACAAAACCATTCCTTGCTCCTTGTTAACAAACTGCAATTCTTTTATGAGATCTTATAAACACAATTCACCACTCAATAGTTTTTTTGCAATCATCAAAGATTATAACAAGTTGAATGAATAAAGTTGTCTAATTTTTACATATTTTTATAATCATCAAGACAAGCTACAGTTTACTTAGTCGATTCGTAAAACACTAAGTTTAACATATCTTCCAGCAGAAAAACAATCACTATGAATAACTTGTTTTGAAAATGTTTTGCTCCACTATTACATTGATAATCTGTATGAATGCCATACGAAATGATTCCAATTGTAGAGTCATGCACTACTAGAAAAATCAAAAAAGATTTTTACACACACATAGTCAACAAGAGAATGCACACACAATTATAGTTGACACTATATGCATGTGGTTTGTCTTTGTGACCTGCGTCCACATAAAACCTCAGAACTATTGTGAGCACTCTTGTATATTTATGTTTCACTAACTAATACTAAATTTATCAAAGGTAATTAAAGAGCCAGATTAACTTCTATCACATACATATGTATCTAAATACTATAACTTTATCATGAAATACTTGAATGCATGTTTCAAATCTTACTCACATCACATGTTAAAATTTACAAGATTTTTACTGCAATAAAAAAAAAACTCTTCAAAATTTGATGAAATTTGTTGTATTGAAAATAAAAAAGTATTTCAGTACATAAGATTATTGAAAGAAAAAAAAAGAATGATGATTCATATACAAGATCACATTGTTGTTGAACAAAGAACAAATAATTTGACATGTTTTCTTGTGTATGAAGATATGTAAATGAATAGTACTTTGATATATTAGTAAAAAAACATCATAATGAGATTAATCATGAATGTAAACCACATTTTAAACCTTATTGATGAAAAGTTAGAGCAATGTTGATCACATTATTTATTAATGGAATCTTTGATAAAATTTATCTGCCACATATGATGAAATAATACTTTATTTGGAATTTTTACATGTAGAATGTTAATCTTTGTGATTTAAATTTTTTTTTAAACAATCAATATGTAGTATCACACATATTTTTTTGTGACAAATTCATGTCAGAAAGTAAACCTAGAATGTCATAATGATTGATATAATGTTTATCAATATGATGCACATAGAGCAGAATCACTCTCAAATAGGATCATGGAGGATACAAATTGATAAACATTTGTTGTTTACAGATTTAAGTTAAAATAACTCAACCAAACTGGATGACCTAGGAGTTAATTAATAGTGAGTTGAAAATGTAGACATATCAGAGTATTTCATAAACCTTTAGTTCATTTTGTTGTTTTAGAAGTAAAGTGGGTATGCGATATGTCAAGTTTTGAAGTCACGCAATCACAAAGCAAAACCATAGCAGTCATGCGGATGATAGAAAAAATACTAAGAATATATTTACTTTCATGGATAGTGGAGATGCTCTCAAAAAAGACGTAAAAGTCACCAGTACGTGCCATATCATTAATCACACAGTTGAAGGCAACTCCTCCCTCATGTAACATAAAAGATCCACTCCTCCAAGACCCATGATACCCATGCCAAAATCCTCAAAGTGCGATAAGTAATCATCAACTTTTCTCTTGGTTAAAGAATTACATTTTTTTTTAATGGTCACGTTTCCACTTCATTCATGTTTCAAGGACGGACGGAATCTAAAATTAAACTCCGAGGTCCACAAGCGGCCTTGATTTGGTTTTCCTAAACCCATATATATATATATATATATATATATATATTGCTCAGTTTCACGACAGTCGTGGGTCGAAATAACGTGGGTCAAATGGTTTTAATCAGTTTTCTTGAAAATTATCTATTAGATTTACCGGTATGTTTTTTCAGCTGAAATAAAAAAGAACTGAGAGGCAACGTGGACGAAGGGCGAAACGAAGGGCCAGAAACTGCGCAGATTGGGAAAATGGAAAAATGGTCGCCGAAAGGATGACGGCAGAATGATCCACGAGTCAAGCAACGGGACGGAACGGCTGCGAACGCAGAAGCTTGAGACGAAGATGGCGTAGGAGGAGCTCGAGCTGCGCCTATCTGTCTGTTTGTCTGTCTGTGTGTCTGTCTGTCGAGCGATAGCGGAAGAGTCAGGAGCTTCTCGTGACTCGTGAGCCGCAACGACGCCAACTAATCCTGAATCGTCGTTCGGTCGTTCGTCCGCGCGAGCGAGAACGGGAATAATGACCAGAACCTTTCCGCGCTTCGTTTTAGGGTTAGAGGAGGTCCCGCACTGCGCTGCTTCTCTGGTTCGCTCTGTCAGAACCATCTCCCCGTTCTCGAGTGCACTCGCTGCAGCAGCTGCAGGCGACGGAGGGCGGAGCGACAGCCGAGGAGAGGGAGAGGGAGAGAGTCGGGGGCTCGACGGATCCGCGGAGTGTCGTGATTGAGCGAGGAGGAGGAGGAGGAGGACGAGGTCAAGCCGAGGGTGGCGACGGAGAGCGAGATGTTGGAGCTTCATCTCTCCGGGAAGATCGAGCGAGGGGCGGTCGCAGCAGACGGCGGAAGCTGAGCAGGGTCGCAGGCTCGGTCTGTGTCGGAACGGAGAAAATTCTGTCTGCTGGTTTCGGAGAAGTCGAAAATTAAACGGGTTGCGATGCAGGAAGGCTCGAGAGGCAGTCCTGATGTCACTCGATATGATTCGGAAGATCGCGCCGGGATCAAGGAGCTGGAGCCTGGGGCTCCTGTCAAGTTTTCCTTCACGGCCTCCAAACCAAAATTTTCCGCTTCTCGACCCCCGCTGTTTCCCAAAGGGAAGCAGCGGAGTTCAGATGACGAAAGTAAGGACATGGAGTATGTGACAGGGTTCGATCAGCAGGGAATTGTGGCGAAGGATCCCAAGGGCCGGTTAGGCGTGAGAGTGATTCCCAAGCTGGAGAACTCGTACAGGCGGCCCGAGAAGCGAATGAAGAATATCATGATGGAGACAGATGTCATGGACAGCACGGATGTCCGGTTTGAGAAGGAGCTGGATACTGTCCTGGCCGGAGCCATCTCCGGAGCTCAGTACGGTTTGACAATTGGGGTCAAGAAGATGGAGACAGTCGAAATGACGACCACCGTCTCGACTGAGAAGGATCCAAACGGGCAACGTACAACGGAAACGACAGTGGCAGAGGACTACATGGAGCACACTACTCTGTCCTTCTCGCAGATAGAGGAGCAACGGCTGAAGAAAGACCTTACCCTCCTCCCCGATGAAGCGGATTTGGACGCCTACGAGGAGATGCCCGTGGAGGACTTCGGGGAAGCCATGTTGAGAGGGATGGGTTGGGAGAAAGGTAAGCCCATCGGACGAAATTCCAAGGACGTAATTGTCCCCGTCGAGTATGTAAGGCGATCGGGAAGGACAGGTCTTGGAGCAGACTCTGCTCCCAAGGAAGTTAGCTCGAAAAAGTATATTAAGCCGGGTGAGAGCAGGTCGGCTGCCCCTGAGCTCGTGGCAGCTTTGGGCCCGGATGGGCGAACCCGGAATGTTATTTCTGTAGATGAAAAGCTTGTAGAGAGAATTAGAAAGGGTGTTGCCAGGGGTAAAGTCATGTCGATCATATCAGGGAGGCATCTTGGTTTGAGGGGAGAAGTTCTCGACGTTTTGGACTCAGAGCGAGTATCGGTGAAGCTTGTGAAGAGTGCAGAGAAGGTTGTGGTAAGCGCAGCAGAATTAGCAGATATTGGGTCCCTAGAGGAAGAGAAGGTGTTGAAGCAGATCAGGCAGCTGAAGATTGGAAATGGTGAAGCCTCGCAAGACAGCTCTATTCGTGACGATAGCCCTCCAGACAGAAGGGAAGATAAAAAGCACGAGAGAAATGAGGATAGAAGAGAGAGAGTTACGAGACGGGATGATGGATCTAAAGCTCACTACAGGCGGGAGGAGGAGGAGCGAGTAAGGTCAAGGAGGGATAGTCGAAGGGACGAGAGAGGAGAGTACGAGGAACCGAAAAGGTCCAGCAGAGAGGGTAGAAAAGACTCGAAGAGAGATGAATCTGATCGAGCAGGAGATGAGATGGAAGTTGACGATGAGGGAAGGAATAGGCGAAGTGAAGATAGAAGAAAGCCATCTCGATATCACAAGCGTGACGACAGAAGGGACGACGGAAGGAGGGAAAGTAGGAAGGATGGGAGAAGAGACGACGAGAGGAGTCAGCCCAGAAGCTACCGTGAGAGGGGTGATGTTTCGGAGCGGGAGAGAGCTGGAAGAGATAGGAGAGATGCTTCCCATATATCACAAGATAGAGCTGAGAAAGACCGGAGCAACTCCGGAGACAGAGACTTGTCAGGAGTAGCTAGTGGAGGACGCATCACAGAGCCGTGGCTGATGAGCCAGATACGAGTGAGGGTCATCAGCAAGACTTTGAAGGGAGGAAAGCTGTACTTAAAAAAAGCTAGAATAGTTGATGTTGTCAGCCCAAGAGAATGTGATATACTCATGGATGAGAGTGGAGAAATGCTACAGCAGGTGAAACAAGAACAATTGGAGACAGCACTGCCTAAGAAAGGTGGTCGCATAGTGGTCGTAGGTGGAACAGAATATCGAGGCAAGATGGGTAAGCTTCTTGAACGAGGATCCGAAAAAGGTTTGGTACAGATGGAAGAGAATTTCAAGGTTGAGACCATGGATTTAGATCTTCTGGCAGAATTTGTCGGTGATCCAAGCGAGTTGGACGATTGAAGGAGCAGACGAGTTCTCATCTTCGGGATCTGTTTCTTGGAACCGGCTGAAACGTCGTGCACATGCAGTGTCTTCTCTTCAGTTGTCTGATGGGCACGTTAGTGCCACAGCCAACCGAAATGCTGGTGAAACTATTCCAGTATTTGAGGATAGAGATGTACTGCCTGGTGAGTGGAGAACTACGATAACCGAACTGTCCTTGCATTATGCTTGTTGCATGAGCGGAAAATGAAGAATATAAGAGATTGTGGGCTTTGCGTTTGTATATGTTCTACTGCAGAGTCGATGGAAGCTATACTTCTGCTAGTTAAGGGAGTGGTATGAATACGAAGAATTGCTGACTTCTGGATATGGGAGTGCAGTCATGCCTTTGAGTATGTAGGGGCCGCCATCTCCTTGGCCAAGCGTGTTCAACAGATCCATCAAGATACTCCCCTGGGCATCCAATGAAGGTGAAGATACTTGACTGAATGCTCTATACTGAGACATGCTGCTTATCAAAATAATGTCGCAAGGCCTTCCCAGAAATAAACTATCTGTAGGATCTAGGTCTTGTACAACGGTCGATGTAGAATGGATTTTATCTTCTCTAACCTAGTTGTTTCAGTAATCTACTTTGAGTACAACACTGCGGAACTATGAGGTTCGCTAGATATTGGTGGAATACTTAGAACTCGAGAGGCTTTAGTCTCAAGCAGTTATATTTGATCCATTATTGATCTATTTTCGGTCAGTTCCATCGGGAAATTTTTTTGGTTTCGTATTTCTTGTTTGTATCGCTCTATTCCTCTCTGTTTGCGTTCATACATTCTGTATAGACCTTTCACTTGCATGTCACATGAGGATACTTGCTGTACATGACCTCAATGCAAATCATCTTCTTGGTGGAGATGCTACTTTCCGTAGAGCCTGAGTTGGTCGTTTTAGGCAAAAGGATACATTAGTGTAATCGGTAGTAATGAACTGCCGTACAGGGCGAATTATTTGGCAGCAATCAATATGATATAATCAAGGTATGATTTGTATGATCAAATTATAGAATCTAAAGTGCAAGAGTTGTATCTTTTCTAACTCACTTGCTCCTTCTTTTATAATCCCAATGTTTTCTTTAGTCGTCTCCAGGCTGACTAGCAATTATTGTTCTCTATTACATCTTTGTAGGTCAATAATTGCAATCGCAGATGTCTGATAAACGTAAGTTCGTGATATAGTTATTGAGGGTTTTTCCAGCTTTATCCTTCTGCCATCGTCGCTGGCAGGCATTTTCTTACGCCTTCATCACGTACATAACGTGTAAGGGATGTGTATAATTGTAGCCCTCATCTCGTGTTTTCTCCTCCTATCACGTACGTGTATAGTACAGTCGTAATCGGATGCTTCTTCTTCCCCGCTGGCATCCAGCACAGTTAGTACCTCCCAGAAGGAGCGGGGAATGTATTTTGTCAGGAAATGACAAGCAAACAGTAATGAGTAGTCGCCATCGCTCTTCAACTCGTACATCACGCGTCTACTTTCACTTTATGGAACATTGGTTCGAATGATCTATACTCACAATTTGGTCCTCAGATAAGTCTGTGTATATCTCTGCTTCTGTAAGTAACGCTAAGATTTGTTTGAACCTAATACCTATGGTGAAGTCTGACAATTCAAAGCTTCATAGGTCAACACCCTGGTGCAGCCGTGTTAATTACCTTCCGAGCAGGAATTGGGGTTGGGGGTAGTAAATGGGCTCTATAGAGCCCATCTCACTAGAATCTGTGAACTTGAAGTATTTCTATATAGGTAGTTGTCAGACGAAGCTTCAAGAATTTGGCCGTTTTTCAGGGGTTTTTCTCCTAGCCAACTTTATCCACTTATGAAATTGACAGGCACTGTTGCCAAACTGCCCTGTGGCTCTTATGAGGTCATGTGGATTGGTGGTGCTATGATCCTTAACATTGAGCTGTTGTTGTACGCTCCCGGACTCTTGGACTCATCACTATCATAGTCTATCCTGCAAGCAGAGCTATACGGAATTTCCTATATTGTCCCGGAAACCTTTATATTGTAGATGAATTTGCAGGTGCTATTATTGGTTTTTATTTGGTACTTGTCTCTCTGAACCTTTTTTTTCTCTCCTTTTGTTTGGAAGTGGTGTTTTCGAACTTTTAATTTTTTTAATACGAGGAATTGCAACTTACATGTAGACTCTGACATTCGCCAGCTGTGATTCAGATCGGTTTATAATTGAGCCTGGTTTTCTCTTATATTCAGTTGCACATGCTTAGTTTTGTTCTGACCTCTATATTGTCTGTAGTATATTACGTGTTACATCCGACCTAGTTTTGCTCAGCTAAAAGTTCAGTATCCTGTTCAGTTCACACCATGTGAAATGTCAAAGGACATATGAGTTCAATGGTCTTCCTTTTTTACATCTTCTCTTCTTTGCTCTTTATTATTCTGCATGTTCTCTTTTGCTGTCTCTTTTGCTTTGGGTTCAATAAATTCTATCATCATAGCAGTTCAGACTCGTTGCTTTTGTTTTTTCTTTTGTTTTTGCTTGCTTATTGTTCCTATTCTTCCATTCACCAAATCGACTAATCTTTCTATTGCGGACTTATCACACAATTTCCAACGAAAGCTGCCGAAGTTATGTTTTATATGTTAGGTTGCTACTTTTAATAGTTTCCAAAGCAATTTATTCAATACCACTTGAAACTTCTTATCTTAGAGGTATGTATCATATCGGGACGGTTATCTTTTTTTGGGCTCGAGCCGCTGAAAGCTTATGTCATTTTGAACTTAACCTTGGAATTTAACTGTAGGAAATGTGAGTTAATTGAAGACGGAGGCAATGTTTGCTGCGTGTGTGTAGAACGTTTTAATGAGCAAAGGAAGTGAGTTTTGCGAGATATATCTTTAGTGAATGTGAAACAGTTCCACGATGAACAGTTTTGGATAAGCTTGCTGCGTTAATTCGAGCAATATCTGTCCTCTATGAAGAGGACTGCATCAAAGGTGGAGTTATGAGATTGTACACACCACGATATTTAACTTCTATTTCTACCTACCAGTTTTGTCTTGAGATCAAATCAGAAAACGTTGTATCCAACAGATTACGGAGAGATGTCGAGGAATTTCGAGTCCCGAATGAATCTCTTGAGTCTGTTATCTTGTACAGAGTTTTTTTGGCTTATCTGTATTTGGAGTATTGCCTCAATCTCACTGAGATTAGCAGCCAGCCCTTCGTGTCTCGTGTATCATGTCTGTAATTTTACATGCTGATAGAATGAAGCCGAAGTGATCGTGGGTCCGAAATCAGATGAAGTGTTGAATGTATATTGTAGCTCTAATCATGGAGGAAGGAGGATTGGACTTAGTGACCACGGTACCTTTTTTTCTTGGTTGGAATTGTTGACGTACATTTGGAATCAAACAGATCAAGTAATAAATAACTCATGTAGATTCACAATCTACTCACTGTATAACAATTCAGCTGACCTATCTGTCCACAAAAAAATGGAATTATATTCAATAGAGCAATTTACTTCAGCTCGATTACTGCCACGTTTCGGGAAGTCCAGTTGCGTCATTACATACAGCTGAGGATGGGGAAGAGAAGCCATTTGAACGCCGAAATTACTGAAACCAGACTCATAGTTTCGTTTCACCCCTTTCAAAAACTACGGAGATGATATCCTTCTCTGCCGTCAATCTCAAATCTTGTGGAATGGTTTGTCTTACAATGCTTACTAGGTGATCTTGTAGGGTCATCGCAATACGAGCATCTCGCCTTTATCTCACCACGAACTCAGAGAGTAGTGTCAGGACGGCTGGTATGTTACATTCGGTGATGCACAACATAGGTTGGTAGTACAACAGTACATCCTGAAGAACGGTTACCGGCAACTTCAAGGCCAGAACTTCTGGTTAAGACTTCAAGCTGCACGTGACTCTCTTTTTCTAATGCAGCACATAGAGTGGGTATACCAAGTTGGGAATCACTCAATATGCCACAACGTGTAGAACGTTCCTCAGTTGTTTAGTAACTCGAGTTTACCGGTCAGTTACCGCCCAACGATTTATTAAAGAGTGACTGGTAACTGCAATTCACTGTGTTCATGTCTTGTATTTTAGCGAATATTTTGTAAAAATATTGTTTCTAGAGTGAAAAAAAGTATTAATTGAGTTAACCCCGGGTTTTAATTGTAATTTGGCCAGATCAACCCTGATCGTATGTCATCAGGGCTGACGGCATACAGTCGGGGTTAATCTAGTAATAAATATAAGTAATACCAAAGGTTAATCTAACCTGCAGTTTACTTATAGGAAGTATGTCATCATGTAACAAATACTGATGAATACACATGTAGCTAAATTTTCTGGTGTAATTTTTATCCTTTCGAAATCGGTATTTAGAAGACAGGCAGTAGGGACTGTGATAAAGCGGAAATGAATATAAGAACATCATCTCCGATAACATGTCTGGGAACAGTCACCACGAACTTTACCTTGGCGCAAATAAACTTGTGCTTGCCTTGAAGAGGATTCACACTCCCACGTCACACGATACAACGAAATTAGCCTTTTCTACCTGTCTTTATTCTGAATTTTCTGATAGTCCTTGATATTTTCGTACACCCGAGGATGTTATAAATTTCATTCTTGTTTACTTTAATTTTTGTAGCATGAACAGATCGTCGATGAGATGAAGTCTAATCATTTCTGTCAATTATACATAGGGAAAGTAATTATCTTAATGCCGTAGGGTTACGTTACAAAGATATAGTATGCAATAATAAATTTGCTAAAATAATAATTGAATGCTTTTCAGTCAAGTGGTACATAGATATAGATAAACTGTGGAACTCGTTATCGACAACAACCAGTTGTACCTGGTATTTGAAGAGTCGCTATTTATATTCTGATGAATGAGATTACGATCATCCAAATGATCCAAGGACGATCCATTGCTCTTCCTTGGATCGTCTAGGAGGTTTTGAAACAAAGTTAGCACTAATTATAAATTTGATGAGAGATTTGCCCATACGGAAAGTAATTTGCTTGATGAGATACTTCAGGTTTAGTTTTACCCTATGGGACTCTATGATCGATGCACCGTAACCCATGTTCTAATAACGACTTGAGTTTTAGAGAGAGTGCAACGAGTCAACAGAGTGTACTTCACCCTCCATCACGCTAGTTTTTATTTTGTCATTCTGTATCCGGCCACTCCCCTAGGTGACGAGCAAAGAAATACTCATCCGGAGTTTATTTGTTCGTCACAAATGGGTGATCGCGAGACTTGAGCTCGGATCACTTTCCGGTACGAGCTCCTCGTCGCATAGGCAGGGTTACGGAAGGAGGGTGCAGGCGGGAGGCAGCAGAGAAAACTCCGCGAATTGAATTGAAGCACAACAAATTGCACTTCGGGCAAAATTGATCTTTGTCCCCGTGATAATCCACCAGAAATTATAATCCGGGATTGATCTCTGATTGTAATCCTCGCATTGTAACTATCAATCATAGTTATAAGAACTATGGCCGACGGCACACAGTCATTGGGGTCACATCAGGTAAAACTAAACCTGAGGGGTACCATCAAGCAAATTACTTTCCACAGAGGTCCCATCAATCAAATCTCTCCAAATTTGATACACCGTTTGGTTATATGTGAATCATGCACCAAAACTCCTAATATTGCGCCCGAATGCAAAAGAAGAATAAAATTAAGCAATTTTCATTCTATTTAGTTTATGGGATGCATGGTTTGTATGCTACAATCTGAAATGTTTTTCAACTTTCATGAAAGTTCGATTGTATGACGATCAAAGCCAATCTCATTGACTGGTAATGTGACCAAGTCACTTCAAGCTAAGAGTATCTAGAAATATGTTGTCAATCAATACTGATAACGGGCACATATCTGTTGTTCAGAAGGTAAGTAAATATCATGGATTGGGCACATATCTGTTGTTCAGAAGGTAAGTAAATATCATGGATTGTCCAAGGAGGTAAACCATTATTTTGGATTGAACCACATGTTATTGAGGGATATTATTTTTTATTATTTTTTCTTGCTTCTATGGTGTATGGATGAAGAAGCATGGGTTCCTAATCTAAAAAAAATGAAGACGGTCGCCTTCAAATCCATAACTTGAAAATATTAAGTAGATTGTTGATATTAGCATGACATTTTTTCTTGGTTGAGGTTGCACCGAATGCATATAGAGGAAATCAATGAGTATGAAAGTGTAAATGAATGGACTGAACTATAATTTGCTTAGAGGAGAAATTTTGTGAAGGATTTAAAATAGAGGGAGAATGAGAACCAGATTTTCGAAAATGACAAATGCTTATTCCATATCAAGCAAAAGGAAAAAAATTCGAGTTGTTCTAAAGTTTTTTCTTTTGAAGAACAACTCGAATAGACAAAGTGAGAGCCAGTGATGGATAATGATGAAAATGAATCTGTAGACCAAAATAAAAAGAGCATTTGAATGATAAACTCTAAAAGGTTGAGTGAGAATTCACGTGTTAACATGCATTGTTTCACTTCCAAATATTAACTAAGATTTTGGAAATGGAGTGAATGTTATTGTTGTGGTGAGAAGAGCAATGCAAAGAAACTCCTAGTAAACATTATTCTGAATCTTATTTGGAGAGCATAATCTGATTACAGGGGGTAGATTGAGATTGTGAGTATGGAATTGTGTCTTAGTGATTGGGTGAATTGCACGGATGCATGGAAAAGAAAATTTCAGAAAAATTGAATGAAAATTACTATTTTATACATGTGATTATTTTCGTTTTTATCTCATCCAAATAGAATTCAAATAAGCGCAAACTTGATGTAAGTTTAAAAGCTCACCTCAACCACGCATCTACTCCTTATTTATACTTCTGGAACTTGCTTGACCCGCCTAATTATTTACTATGTATGTTTTGATGATAGAGAATTTTCAGAAAGTACTATAGAAATAAATAAATAAATAAATATACATATATGTATATTTATGTATATATATACATAAAATTCCAAGAGTGGATAAGAGTACATATACATGAAGAGATTGACTGACGAGAAATAAGAATAAAACCATGACGGAGAGTATTCTTCTCTCATACATTAAAACTTAAAGAATCAACTTGAACTCGTAGCAAGAATTCAGTCTAGATGTACTTCACTACTTGAATAAGACTAAAAAACGGCTTGTTTGTCTTCTGAACATCAGATTTTGCAACGTTTTACTACTTAACTAGATGGCTATTCACTTGATGCTCATGTTTTATTCATCATGTTAAGCCTATTCTTATACATGTTTAAGAATTTGATTTATGTAATTAAGAGTAGATTATATGTATTTTTGTTTCAATACTCTTGACGTAAAACCTAAAACCAAGTAAGAATCACATGAGAATCACACGAGACACTCATATAACGTGGTTCACCTTCAAGGGTTACATCCACGGCTGAAACATGCAAGAAGATTTACTGACAAGTGATTACACAATACTGCTTCTTGTTGAAGCCTTGGCCTTGGGGGTCTATTTATACCCAAAGAAAGCGAAACACCTAGCTATAAATAGCTACAACTTGAGGTTACTCCTTAACATGAGTTAACCTCAACAATCTTCCCTTTAAATTGTGTTAAGGAAACAATATCCTCAGTAACATATATTATTGCTCAACGGTAAAATCTAGACAGAAATCTAACACAAGGCCACTCTTTACACGAGAGTTAACTAGAATTAGACCGTAGCCATAACAGGATAGAGTAATAACATAAAGAGGTAAATAGAATACTTGCTTGCATAGAGGGATCAGAGATCTCATAGTCTATATAATACTCTGCGTGAAGTTTTAGACAGAAACTTAATACAAGGTCCCTCTTTACACAAAAGTTAATTAGAACTAAACAGTATCCATCACAAGATAGAGTAAATGTATAAAGAGATAACTAAAGTTACTATGCTAGCAAAAATTACATGTGCTCCCATGCACAACTTGCATGATAGCACAATGTCGCATGAAACTCTCCAATGGAATAACTTTGATCAGCTGGATTGAGTTTACCGTCGATCTTGACTACATCAATCGTTTTATCATACACTGCTTGTTTGATAAAATGATACCTGATCTCAATGTGCTTCATTCTACTATCCATGACATGGTTCGTAGCCAAATGTAAAGCGCTTTGACTATCACAATGAAGATTGACCACGCCATGCTTCAATCCCATTCCCATGATAAGCTTATCCAACCAATAGTTTCCTTTGCCGCTTCTGCTGCTGCCACATATTCAACTTCCGTTGTTGAATAGGCTACGCATTTCTGCAAGGTAGAACTCCAACTAATGGTTCCACCGCCAAGTGTGAACACATACCTAGTTGTAGATCTCCTTTCATCTAGATCATGTCCGTAGTTAGCGTCACGTAACCAAACAAGGATTTGGCATTGTCTAATAGACCATCAAACAGTAAACCATAATCCAAAGTACTCTTCAAATATCTCATAATCCATTTCAGTGCTTCCCAGTGAACTTTCCCTCGATTTGACATGTACCTGCTCACCTTGCCCATCGCAAAAGCAATGTCCGGCCTAGTGTACACCATCAAATACATGAGGTTGACTACAACTTGTTCATAGGAAACACATGACATATTTCCTTTCTTCATCGCATCGGTAGGACATGAGCTGCAAAGAGTTTGAAATGTGCCGCCAAAGGAGTCCATACTGTTTTGAAATTGATCATGTTGAACCTATCAAGTATACGACAGACATACTTGCCTTGACTCAACCATAGTATCTTCTGTTCATGATCCATATGGATCTCCATGCCTAATATTCTCTTCGACTCCCCCATATACTTCATCTTAAATGCAGACTTCAATTTACTTTTGCATTCATCAACATCGGATTGGTATTTCGGCAGTATGAACATATCGTCAACGAAGAGTACTAAAATGATGAGATTGAACGTCTCATCATTTTTCTTCTTCATGTAGACACAAGGATCATACACGCTTCGTAAAAACCCTTGTGCCTTCATGAATTTATCAAATCGCGTGTTCCACTGCTTAGGAGCTTGCTTCAATCCAAATGATGATTTCAAGAATCTACAAACCAACATCTCTTTGCCTTTGATCTCAAAACCAACAGATTGTCTCATGTAGATCTCCTACTCTAAATATCCATAGAGAAAAGCTGTAATCACATCCATGTGATCTATAACAAGATCAAATATCGCAATCAATGCACATACGAGACGAATTGTAGCATACTTAGCTATCGGTGAGAAAACTTTGTTGTAGTCCATGCTCTTCTCTTGGGTGAAACCTCTAGCCACCAACCTAGCTTTGAAGATTCTCGCCTCGTCCACTCGACAAGTCAAATACATCATCTGGAGAGTATATAGAGGGTTTAGGATATTTACAACAGATTTTCCTCAACAGTGTTGTGAAGATGGACGGGATAAGACAAAGCAAGCAGCCGCCACCTACAACTTCGAAGCATACCTTGAACTTCTGAACTTCTGTCTACTGCGAGGTCTTGAACTTTGAACTTCTTTCTCTCGGGCAGTACTGCACTTCGGACTTCGAACTTTGAACTTCTCTGTCTGCTGCGTCTCAAACTTCTTTGCACTTCGGACTTCGGACTTTGAACTTCTCTGTCTCTGGCACTACTGTACTTCGGACTTTGAACTTGTGTAAGAACTCTCGAACTTTGAACTTCTCTGATTGCACTTGGGACTGCGAACTTCTGTCTCCTCTTGAACTTGAAGTGAAATAAAAACTGCAAGACTCGACAAAATAGTCCTGACTTCAAACTTTTGCAAGAGCTCTTGAACTTTGAACTTTTCTCACTGCACTTCGGACTGCAAACTTCTGTCTGCTCTTGAACCTCAAACTTCTGCAAAACTCGACAAAACAATCCCGAACTTTGAAGTGAAATAAAAACTGCAAGACTCGAAAGAACAGTCCCGAACTTTGAAGTGAAATAAAAATTGCAGAAACGATAACAAATACAATCTTTGTCAAAACTGTGAGTTTGTTAGCCAAGTGTTTTTTGGAAGAATAAAACTTTCAAACTTCTGTAAGAAAACCATTGCTAACAGAAATCTATCATAGAAAACTTAAATTTTCAACTTAACTACAAACCTTGAACCATCACAGTACCATAAAGAGAAATAGTCTTTCATAGAATGAGAAGAAATTAATAAACTAAGGATAATAGATAGAGACAAAGAAATGAATAGTTGCCTTTTTTTGTCAGGGTCATAAAATTGAAAAAGTAAAACTAAATTTAAGTGTACAATGATCATAATACTGCAATGAAAATAGAATTCTTAATAGGCAATGTAATTGAATTCTGTGAGATGTATTACCATCAAACATGGCATCATCTAGTGAGTTTATTTTGCTCTGTACAACATTAAATAGTAATGTAAATGAGAAATTCATTGAAAAAATTTCATGTTATAAGTGATACATGATAGGAAAATTGATATTTTTTACTTGATTATCTTGTTCATTTTCTTACCAAAATCATGAAGATCACATATAAAGTCTCATAATCTTTGTATTCTAGAAGAAAAATAGAACAAATTGAGCCATACCTTTGTATTTAAATACCTAAAATGCTGATTCTCTAATCTTTGTCTTGAATATTATTTATCAACTATCTTTAATTCGTGTGTAAATTTGGTACTTTTCACGTCTGAAATTATAATTTAGTGTTTTCAAATGGTAGAACTGGACTAACGTTTATCACATTAATTGGCATTTTTTATATTTATATTTTTAGTCTTCGCGTTTTATTGTGAAAACAGTTTATATTATATATACCATAATCATATATTCTTTTATCGTCATTTTTACTTATATATATATTTACATCACGTCATTTAAATTCAATTTACATTCAAAATAACATCGTTTTCACTCACAAGCAATGAAAAAATAGAAAGAACTGTATCAATTCTAGGCACAACTTCGCTGCTTAAAAAAAAGTTTGAATGAACCAGGTATAATCAAATTATATTCATTCTAAGTTTCAAAAAATTGAATCTATGAATAGCAATATATCTGTCTTGATGAAAAAACTTACTAGATTTCACTATCACTTAAAAAATACTAGATGTAAACGTAAAGCTTGTTATATTATTGTTTCATCGGGATAAATTGTAGATATCTTCTTCGATTTGAATAAAAAAAATTGAGATTTTATATTCTATCTCTGAGCTAAATGACCACATGTATAGGATATATATTTACATTCTTATATTCAGTATAGATAATTTTTGCAATGAGGAAGATGAAAGATAACCTAATCAAGTTCTCTTCTGGTCTCAAATGTTATAACTGTCTTCTTGTAATCTAATAGCGAAAACCATCTATTAATATTAAATTGAATGGATGTATAATAATTTTTGTAATATAATTTTCAGTTTATATCAAATTTGGATTAAAAACTATTGTAGATTGACTCCCAAATTGATGAGAGATAGTTGGTTGTCAAATAATCAAAGGTTTGTTTTTGAGCTTGAGATTGAGCTTGTTGAGCGTACTATGTAGATTGAGTGCACAACTTGTATTATCCATTAGGAAGGATAAGTCATAATAATTTGGACTTACAAATGTTCATGGTTAGCTCAAAATTAGATTTATAGAAAAACCAAGCGATATATCTTTATATTGACATAATAATAACAATTAAATACTGTATGGTGGCTAAACTTAATTTATTTTCAAATTACGCCTCTCAAGGAAGCTTGCAAAATAAAGAGAACAGTAGACATCAACAGATAAAAGTGCAAGATGGGAAGGTTGAGTCCTGGATTCCACCAGCAACTTAGCAGCAGTTGGTGAGATTTATACTTTACACTGCTCTTCATTTTATAAAAATTTAGAATTTCGCAAATCATCATATTAGCATATGTATTTTTCATACAAGGAAATAGTTTTATAATATTTCATTTGATACTTCACATTTATTGATATATAAAATCTTCATTTCAATGTAAACAACACGATAAATCTGATTGCTGCTGCTGATGAAATTTGATTGCTGCTTTGAATCTTTATAAGAGAATATGTATTAACATAGATGGGTTGATATGAAATGAATCAAATTTTCCAAAATCTAGTGATTATAATTTTATGCCAGTTCAAAGACTACAGGCGAGAGTAATATATTTCCTATCTATATTTTAGACCCGAAAGACTCAAACTGTGAAGACGATGCTAGTCAGTTTTTACCCCTATTCGGCACCGTGCTCGAGTGGGATAATATGATTCGTTGCAAGCGGTCTCTGAGGAGGCCAAGGTGTGAACATGATGTTCTGGACACAGCAGCTTACGAAATTATTGTACAATACAGAGTACATGCTTGTCGCTGATGAATGACAAAAAATAATGCCGTCCACGTGGCAAAAGAAAGGTATCACGGAGAGGGAAGGGGAAGAAACTCGTCCGCGGAGAGTGACGTGGACGACGGCGAAGTAGCGAGGAACAAAGCCCGCAGTTTTGGATCGACGCAGTTCGCAGCGCGGAGCCCACGACTCAGTCAGTCGGTCGATCGAACTAGCGAACGTGGTCGGACGAAGAGGGCGTGGAAGTATGGCACGCGGCGCTCGACTGGCCTGCCACTGCATGAACCAAATTTGCCAGGTCGGATAAGGGCTGCGAAGTGGCTACGTCCGTCGCGGACAAGTGTTCCGGCACAGCGGCTGCCAGTACCTGTCCTCATGCAGAACTCCTCGTATGCTTGCCTTATAAGCTCCGTCCCTGCCTCGCTCCTCAAACAAACCAGAGAATCTTCTTTCCCGATCCTCCGCATCCTCCAGTAGCTCGGATTATATAGCAGCCACAGCAACATTTTCTCTTGATAGATTGATCGATTGATCAGCTGACTGATTCATTCTTTCAGTTCTCTCTGATCGACATTTTCTGCCGCCGAGTGCAGTGACACTTCGGTCTTCTTCACCCCATCTGAAATTGGTATTTAGATTTCTTGAGAGAGCATGGCTGCCAGGAGAGCCTCGGCTCGTCTTCTCAAGGTCCTGCAACAGTCTGCTGCAGTACCGAGCTCTGCAATTCCCCGACCTGCGGCTTCATCCCTTCCTGCACAGATCGCAAGCTTCAATGTCGAGTCTAGCGTCTGCAGACCCGGAGCTATCTCGTTCCGCCGATTGTATGCTGCCGATGGCCAGGTTGGTTACTCGTACCAGCTGTGACAGTCTCTATCTTCTGCACACCCCATTGTTGACTTAAATGCCAGTGAACCAGAATAATATGGCCTTTCAGTTGGGTTGCATTGTTTTCATCTTGTCCTCCACTTCGTTCTTCTATGATCAGGTTCCAGACTTCTCGACTCAAAAATTGTCGTAGAAGTTGTACATGCACTGAATGAAAGCGAGCTGTAATCGAGCATGTGAATTGGCCATTATTTACTGGAGCTCAGTACTTGTTACTGGTTTCCATGCTCGCTCACAGCAGCTGGATCTGGCATTTCATCTTCGTTTACCTGCCTGCATGCAATATCCACGTGTAGCCCCATGTCTTTGTCCTTGAAGCCTTTTGAAGATTAGCTATTTGGTAGCATGAAGCGTCTGATCACGAGTGTGGTGGGAACCTGTGCAAGCAGGCTGCAAGAGATGTGCATCATCACGAGCATGAGAAAACGAAGATGACGAGTGAAGGAGGTGGTTCTAAGCAGGACTTTCACGAGGCGAAGGAGAATGTGAAGGAAGGGGCTGAGAAGGCAGCCAACAAGGGAAAGGAAGTTGCCAGTGATATGACGGAGAAAGCCAAGGACTACGCCCAGAGTGCCAAGGATCAGGTGGGCCAAGGAATGGAGAATACGAAGGAGAAGGCGAAGGATGTGGCCGGAAAGGTGAGCGAGGGCATGGAGCAGACGAAGGAGAAGGGCAAGGAGATGTACAAGAGCGCCTCGTCCAAAACAAAGGAGACGATGGGAGACATGGCCGACAAGGCGAGCAAAGCTGTAGACCAGACCAAGGAGAAGGTGAAGGACACTGCGAGCGGCAAGGCGGAGGACGCCAAAGACATGATGAACGACAAGACCGAGCAGGGCAAGGGTGTGATGGGAAGCATGAAAGACCAAGCGTCCAAGGAATCTGAGACTGCCAAGACCATGTTCAAGGACCTTCCTCAAAAGACATCCGAAACCGCAGCCGGCATCAAGGAAGTTGTAGTCGAAGTCGCCAAGGCCGTGAAACGTGATGCGGCCAAAGTTGCAGAGAAGGTGGGTCTCAAATCAGAGGAACCGAAACACTAGGCCCTGAACTTTGTTAAATCTCCCACATTAGATTCTTCATAGTTTCAGTCTGTACAGATGCATCATAAATGTCAAATGGCACATAGTCGGGGCGACGCCCAATGAATAGAGAGGGAATTTTCTCCGACCTTGTTAGTTAAGTGATCTCTAGAGCAGGGTTGGGCAAGGATCTCACGGCTTCTGAGTTTTGACTCTGATTCACTCACCTTCAGAAATAGCTTCTGCATACAAGAATCTGTACTATCAAATCTGATACGGTTTAGTTCATTTATAGAGCTGTCGACACCAAAATCAAAATGATTTTGTTTATGTGCATGCTAAAATTTCTGATTAAAATTAATGGCTCGTGAAAGCGGAAATTTTGCTGCAACGTTTTCTTCAGTACGCATTGAATGTATGCTCTCTGAATAAATTGGCAAAAATTTCAATTTTGTTTGTTCAAAACAATTGAAAGGATATGTTCGTTAGTTTAGATACATTTGGTTCATTTACTTGGATCCGTGTAGACTGGTCAAATGAGTTTTAACATATGGGTAGCAAAGAGTATGAAAGATGAATGATTAAATTTTGATAGTGGACTTATATTTACCATGAACAGATAATGTACATATGATGAAGAAATATCATTGCTGTGCATAGTATAAATAATAATGTATAAATGAAAAAATACAGTAAAATAATTATACAACATCTTATACATGCAAAAGCATGAAAACATAACATTATATACAATTGATATACAAACGAAATATATAAAAAAAATTATTATTACTTACAACTCTCAACATCGGATACAACATACAATAATAGATTACTCCAAAAATTCTTATATAAAATTACACTTATCTACTGTTAAGAGAAATAAACACACTCAAAGAAACCAATTCCACTGTAATGTAACGTAAAAGTTTTCTATATATTAATCATATGTACAATTTACAATGAAAAGCCAATATATGAAACATATTTAACTTCAAAATTGATGAAATTTAAATAAAACCACAAATAGTGAGGTTATAACTTAATATTTATACTTTTTAACTAAAAGTACAACAATGAAATCCTCGAATCTTCGAAATCGACGGTTTGATGATGAGAAAGTTAGTGTGTTGACTAAACAAAAACATATAGACACAAGAAAAGTCAAAAGGCACACACTAACCGTCAACACGGAAACATACATAATTCTTGGACTTGTATGATTCATTGTTGGCTAAATATGTGAAAAATCTCATGATTTATTTAGAAAAACACTAAAAAAACGTAACGTAAGTGAGAGCTTATGCGAGTTCCCTTCTATAATGTAAATTTTACCTAACGTTAAATATAAAATTGAGTCAATTTCCATGAATCTTCCCATTGATTCATGTATTGAGTAAAATAAGTTACATAATCTATATATTTATTATGAAAAAACATCTAGAATGAACATACTCTGAAATAGTCTCCTCTATGACATAAATAAGGTTAACTCAAATCTCATCCATAACCAAAAAGTGATAGAGTAAAAATTCATATAGTGATAAAAAATTTGCAATTCAACTCTTTTTGTGCTTCTTTTGCAAAAATTGTTAAGTTATAACTTTGTTGAATGCATCATGTTACAAATTTTCAAGAGAAAACATCAAGCAAAGAGAAATGCAAACACACCACAACGTTGATATGAACATAGACCGACACAAGTGTGCATGTTCGCCAAGGCTAGATCGAGATAATGTTCACGTTCACGGGAACATCATTGAGAAGTGATCTCAAGAGCTTTAGTCAATTCTTCAAAATGCCAGCAAAATCTATAACCTAACTCGGTTTAAACTATATGATTTAATACTAACGATATTTTTCTTAACTCAAACTGTGCAAGCTTGGAATTCCATAACCCATACAATAAATATGCAAAAAGTTCTAAAAAAATCTACTATTAAATTTTTCTTCTAACTATAATTGATAGATAGCCAAAACATAATAGAGTCAAATATAAAAAGGTAAAAAAAGTTGCTAGTAAATTTAAATTCTGCTACTCATGCAAAACCTGATATGAATAGCACAATGTCTCTTTAAATTCTCCAAAGAAATAAGATTGATCATCTGGATTAAATTTACCGTAAATATGGACTCACTCAATTTCATTTATTAGAAACTGAATCTTTGATAAATCAAACACACTGATATATGATATCAGTGTGTTTGATTTGATGTCTATCAATTGAATTGCAATTCACTTTGACTATCAGATGAAGATTGGCAACATTTTATTTTGATACAGTCTAGATAATAACTATATTTAACCGAACACTTTACTTTTGTGAACTGAGCTACATACTTGTGCAATGAGTATTTTCAACAAATGCATATATTATCGAGTATTCACATATATCAAATTGTAGATTTTTTTTTGTTTGAATCTTGTCCATGATCAAATTTAATGATTTGGCTAATGTAATAAATCATCAAACAATATACAACAATATTCAGTACTCTTCAGCCACCAAGAATTGATTTCACTACTTTCAATGCATATTTTTGAGATTTGACATATATATGCTCATCTTGTCCAAAGCCAAAAACAATTATAGATCTTGCGCAAAGCATCAATTAAACATGTTGTTATATAAAATTAATGACATTTTTTAATATAACATTGAGCTATAAAATTTTTGAAATATTTAAATGTTTTTATGTTAAACTTGTTAAGCACACATTAACTAAAATTTTCTTGAATCAATTATTTTTTTATCACTAAATGTCTATAACATATATATCTAATAATATCATTAATAATATTAAGTAAATACCTTGACTAAAATGTGGATTTTAGCTAATATTTGCATTTTTCAACGTCAGATTGAATTTTCTTTTGCCAAAATGAACATCTCATCAATATAAAATTTTGCAATAATAAAAATGATTATATTATTATATCTCCTCTCCATGTATACACATGGATTAAACACATTCCATGAAACTATGTATGCATTCATAAATTCAACAAACCTTTCATTTCACTATCTAGTAGCTTGTCTCAATCCACAATATGATTCAAGTAATTTATTAATTATTTTTTTATTATTTCAAAATGAAGATATTGTTTCATGTACATTTTAAATCTAAACTTTTTATAATTTTATTCAAATCTAAATTTATTTTATAGAAATTGATACTATTACATTGATTTGATTTATAACCAGATCAAACTTTGCAACAATTTCACATACTTATTGGATTATAGCATACTTTGATACAAATAAGAAAACTTTGTTGTAGTTGTCAGCTTTGAATCTTATGTGAAATGAAGTTGAAAACTAATGAAATGAACTATTGCCAGAATCTCAACTCGCTTTTGAAGATTTTTCTCTTGTGATCTGTTGTACATCATCATTCGCACATCTTATTGTACATCAACAACTAAATTGCACACCCACAACAATTTTTCACTTGAGCTTATTGACAAACATTTGAGCTTTTCTGTAAGAACAAGTTATTAGACTTCAATACTATCACTCATAATATCATGAATTTCAAAAAGAAATAAATTATATGATTATTTATAATTCATATGAGGTTCATTAATCCAATTTTATTATAAACTATTTTAGATTAGTATTCTGATGATATACGAGCCTATAAAAATCGGTATTTGTATGTAAAATTAGTCAATAAGTTGTCTAGTATTAAATTAATTTTGATTAAGTTTAACCACTTATGATTAAGTTAAAATATCAACTTTAAACTTGGAAAAATAAATAGTATATATTTAAAAGTATGAATGAATAGTTGTATTTTGTTTTACATCAAAATCTACATTTGAATGAGATAAAATTTTTACTACATGTTAATTTTGATTGGTTTTATTACGTAATATAATTATTATGTGTTAGAGTTGATCTAAAGTATAAATTAGTGAAAAATAAAGATTTTAGAATTTTTAGGTTATCAATGATATGTGGATATTTAAATATTAGTGGATGTTAGTAGTGAGTGATGAGTAAAAAAATATAACTATCTTTACTTAGTTAGAATTAAAATAGAAGTCATTTAAAATTGAGAAGAGAAGATGATAGTGGAATATCTATCATGCCACGTCAGCAATTTGTGTCCTAATTGGAAACAACACGTCAACAAACCATGTGCTTATCAAGTATATCTGACATCATCAATCAAATAAGAGGGTATTGAATGGTGGGAAGAATACCTTATCTTCGTGTATATGTTTGAAGTATCTATATAAGAGAGAGTGATTCCATTCAAGTAATCTCATCTTCAGAATTTATGTTTCATCTTCGAGGGAGATGTCTTCTAAAATCCTAGTGTTACAAAAAATTGTGTGAGAAAGTGTTCAAGAGGCTTTCATACTTCTAAAATCGTGATGAATAATCTATTATCATGATGAATTACAAAAAAATTGTTTAATTAAACTTGAATTAGATTAGATCCGGAGGTCAGAAATCTCTATTGTTGAATGCAGATACTTGAATGTCAAAAAAATTATTTATGCTTTTTGAATGATGCTCTTCAAAATTTTGCTCTATTTGTAAAGGAATTTTTCATTCTGTCATGTTATTATTCACATAATGATTAATCTTTACTTCATAACATTCGTGAGTGAAGATTTATACTTGTTAGTTTGGAAAGAGAAAAAAATTTTAAACTCTTTTAATGATATGGAAAAAATTGTAGAACTATGAAATAATTATAACCACGCGGATAAATTTGTGGGGGTTAAGGCTAATTGATGACTTTAATCGATGTATGCGTGATTTTGTAAGAAAAAATTTTTGAGAGAAATTTCAATGCAAGATGAAGGACACTAGTGAAAATATGACACTTCAAACCTCACTGAATAAACACACATATATAGTTTTTATCACACATGAGTTGTATTTTTCAAATGAAGGGTAGGACATATTTGGAAAAATAGAGCATACATCATTTTTTAAGAAGTCTATTCTTCATCAATCAAAGAATAAATGTGAATGAGATAAGTTTGAGTTTGCTAATTTGAATAAGAATATCTTAATAGATTCCTGCAAAGACAGAATTACTTGTGACTTTTAATTGAAAAAAAAGCTAGAGGAAATTCTTAAATAATTTATGTTACCAGAAAAGAAAGATGTGATTACATTTGCTTCATAGTTGAACTAATATAGTTTGTAGATTTAAGAGTCAAATGCACATATACCCGATTCATCAAAGGATTTTCTTGTAGTCATACCACAAAAAACCGTAAGTATGTTTTGTCATCTAGAAATATCACCACCGACACTAGCACATAGAACCGACACTCCATGTCTCCTCTACGGACCGACCTTGGACACTCGAGCATCCCTGCCGGGGTTCATTTTATTATGTGAATTACTCAAAAATAAATATAAACTTCTTCAGAGATTGAACATTTTCTCTAACATCAAAATGTTGCGCCTTTAATCCATTCCATTTGAAAAAGATAATACAAAGAACTCATATTCACGGAATGCATTCTCTTGATTTTTAAACCAAATTCGGTCGTTCAAAATAATGTTACCTTATTTATGAAAAAACATTGGTCTTTTCGTAAATTAAGGTACAGAGCGAGTTGGAGACAGTTGGAGAAACGAAGACCCTCCCGAAGGAAGCTTCAGGAGCGTCCAGTTGAGCCCACGATCCTAAACCAGAGGACAAAAGGAGAACGTAAACCATCGGTCAAAGTTCCTGCGTGTCTGCTTCATGATCAAGCTTCCGAGTTGAGACATGTGAAAAAATCTTGGTATATGATTTAAGTCAGCGAAGGAGAGGGATCAATGGAATCTATGCACATGATCAAGGTACAGTATATAAAATAAAACTAAAAAGCTGAAAAACTCGAGAAGGTTCTGCAGTGATTATCATGCCCATCGAAGACTCTCGAGACTGTAAAGATGAATCGCCTTTGAACATGGTGGAGGAGAGTCACACTGATACTATTCCTTATTCGGCTGCCATGGAAAAGAGATCGGCCGACGGGACCTGCATGCTCCTACCGATGACAACCAGGTTGTATACTGTACTGCAAAACTCTCGTTCGGAGCCAGGATTCTCGAATGTCATATCATGGAGGAATGATGCCAAAGATGGTAAAGATCAATCATTTGCCAGCTGTAAGAAAGAACTTCTTTGTGGTACACTTTTAAGCAAACTCATCCCAATCGAGGCTTTGCGAGGCTTGCATGTGAATATCCACAAGAGCATAAATTTTTTTCACCACCTTTCAATTATAGAGTCGGAAATAAATACTGCATTTTATGTAGCTCTCTTTTGATCTTTTGGACAGGCTTCGTTGATTTCTTGCCTGCTCAGTAGTTGCTGAAATTTCAACGAGTCCTCAGGTACAAGAAGAAAACCACCATCAAGAATATGGACTAAAAGTTCAACATAGGAAAACTCCAAAATGCTTAGAGGGGCGTCGGCCGAGAGAGCGAACACTGAAGGTCTGCTTTGGAGAAGACTGTTGGGAAGAAAAGCTTTATTTGTTATTATTTGTTTATCAAATTTGCTTTGGAAGTCACCTTTTTAAAGGCTTGAGCAGATGAGGGCAAACTGGCAGAGCTTTATGGTGTCTCATTTCCCTGATGTAAGATATAATATTATTAGAGGAACACTGGATGCTGTAGGAGTAAAAGATTGTCAACAAACCCGTAAAAAATAAGGAAGTTTGTTTCGAGCCAAATAAAAGAGACTAGAGTATTAAAATCTGTTGCTCGCTGGAGTCCATTTACCAGCCGACCCACGCCTCTGAACGCTGAATCCCAATCACCAAAATCTGGGTCATTAGGAGCGGCCGTTTTTGTTTTCAGTCTCATGGCTGTGATGAGATTCTGGATTTTAACGAACCTTTTTGATTCATGTGAATAATTCCTTTCCTGGATTCCTATTGCCATTCTAAACTATATTCACCTCAAAGCAGTGAGCCAGACAAGTTGGCAGTCCGGACGAGCGCCGCCCCCTGACTATGGAGAAAGTTCCTTCGCGAAGTGAGATGTATCTGTTCCTTGATGGAACCATGTCGCCTTGTATTCCACGAGTCTTTCTCACGTTACGGACATTGGATCCACCGTCTTGAATGCAAAACACGCTACAGACTTGGCTTGCAACTGCTGCCGTGTGGATGAAAGTAATTCTTGTGCCGGACTGTGCGGGCAGATAAGTTTGAAAGGAAGGCCAGAGGAGTGAAACAAACGGGAATTAGAAAGTAACATCAGTGCAGTGAAAAGCGATGGATTCTCTGCTGAAGAAGTATGATCTAGAACCTTGAGTCTCAGAGTATCTGAAACTGCTGGCTAGCTAGCGGGAGCTGTATCTGTGAAGCGGACGAGCAGACGAGAGTTCTCGACAAATGAGCAGTTCAATGAGTTGCACTTTACAGGCCGTCATAGTGTACGAACTTAGTTGTCGTTGAAAAAGGACCTGCTTCACCCAAAATGGCAAGAGCTGACTTGAGAATAGCAGCAGCAGCTTCATACACGCCACATGACACCAGCTAGATACGACACCGTTGTCTTCCCAAATCCGAGCAAGAGTAAAACTCCAGTGTGCGTTGTTAAACTTTTCTACGATACGATGATGAACGACTTTGACTTTTCGTTACGAAGGCAATACGCACGAATCAACTACATTGTACATCTTCAGGCGAGAGGCGATTTCTCTCCATCGTTTGGGTCCTGGGGCGGTTTCCTCTAGCCTTCGTTGGCCTCTCGTATTGGGGTGAGAAATTCCGTGCGTCTCCCTCTTTCTACGCTGAACATATTCAGTGCAAGCTGCAGGAATCATTGCACCGCATCTCAGGCGAATTTTGGCATCTAATATACCCGGATACCCTAATTTCCAGACCTTCCTTCAAACCCTGTGTGGAGAATGTGGACAAACTTTCCAGGTTAACAACCCATTGTTCAATTTCAGTTGTTCGACGCATTGCATGTCTTCTTACATCATTCAAGACTCAGTGAGAACATAGCTGAGAAGTGGATGATAATTCACGACCAACTTTCCTAGAAGTCGATTTTCAGCTCACACTTCAGGACACGGGCACTTGAGCTGAGCACCTGCTTAGAATCTAGTTCCAGCATTCCACACTTCTCAGGTCCAGACTACGCGCATATGGAGACATATGACTCGCCCCCGTCGTATTCGTGTCCTACAAAACTACTGTGGAGTCCACGTACCAAATTGAGCTATGGACTATTGCCGATAAAAATACACTGGACCAGTAAATACTGTCGTACGTGGATGCTGATAAAGGCTCGCTCGCTCGCACGAACAAACGAAATGGAGGCGGGGGGTGAAAGAGGCAGAGAAGGCAAGAAGAGAGGGCTCAGCGCATTCTGCACAAGCAACCAACTTCCTTCCCACGAGGCTGCCACATTAGTGAAGATGGAGCTCCCCTCGCCAACGCAGGCAGGCACGCAATCGACACCTGAAACGTCCGTCGATCACGACAGTAGTTCCCGCTTCTGACCGATGGTGAGCACAGGCTCGTCCCGCTTCCAGAGTCATCCGTAGTGGAGGCAGCCGGTGACACTGTCCCGTTGACATGCAGTAAGACTCAAGTCACCGCATGACGAGGGAAACGGGACAGTGGCCCGTTGCCTTGGCCATGAAGGGCACCGTTGACGGTAAAGCAGTGAACGGGCAGGAAGAGGGGTAGAGGGGAGGGTTAGGGGAGGAAAAAGGAGGAGGAAGAGAGGGTGCAGGGGAGAGCACGCGAGTGGACGATTAGGGTTGGACAGGGCAGTGGGTCAGGGGCAGGGGCAGGGCAGAACGGACAGAAGGACGGACGGACGGACGGACGGACAGACAGACAGAGAGAGAGAGAGAGCGATGGAAGCGTCGGGCGAGAGAGTGTGAGAGAGAGAGAGAGAGAGAGAGAGAGGAGGGAGAGAGGAGGTGCGGAGAGATCGAGCACATGCCGTCTTGGGGGAGGAATGATGAGGATTTGGCCGTCCGAGGATCGTTGGGCGGCACGAGCGTCTAGGCCAGCAAGGAACGGGGGCGAGAGGAGTCTCTGATCTTCTGAGGTGCTCAAATCGATGAGAGGGTGTCAAATCTAGCAGCAGCCATGACTGTGGCCCCGCTCGTGGTGTATGCGGGGTTCTATCTGTTTCTCGTCTTCTTCGCTATCTGTCTCGGTGAGTTTCTTTCCTTCTCGAAGGATCTGTTTCGTCGATGCTCTTTATGCAATGCCGAGAGAAATCGAAGTTCTGTCCTACCTCATCTTCATCACCGCTCTTAGAGGAGACGCAGAGCAGGAGTTGATTGTTCCGATGGCAGTGAACTCCCGGGTGTGGATCGCCACGTTCTTCCCCTCTTCGCGTGGTTCTTTACCGCGTCTCCGTCCTACGAGCAGTCCTCTGGTTGTTTTGTCAACAGTGAAGAAATCAGGAAGAGATCTGTTGGGGTGAATGGGGATAGAAACAGAGGGCATTTTGTGAGCTTAGGATATCTCGGGCATAGTCGCTCCCCGCAATTTCGCCTCTCTCTTCAGACTGTGTCGGTATGACCGAGTCACTCTTGCGCGAGAGCCCGCAAGTGAAGGTATTTGATGCAGCGATCGGTTTCCAAACCGTGCGAGCGCTAATGAGTTCTTGCCGAGCGTCTCCGTTGACAGACGAAATCGTTTTCGGATGCCACGATGACTCCCTTCGTTCTCATCGTGGCGGGGACATTCTCCGAGGAACTGGGCCGCGTTGCCACTTTTTTTTTTATTCACCAAGCGATCGCATAGAAGATCTTGATGCCAATGACTTTTCATGTCCTTATGAGCAAATCACACCGCAGCTGAAAACCCGTCCCCTCCCCTGTGAGGAGCGTCTATTTATCTTTTTATCGGAACGATAGACTTCATGTTATTCTGCTCTTCGTTCTCAACAAGACTTCTACTTTGCTCAAACACGAAGAAAGCTAGGATATTTTCAACGAGGAGCTCTTCTTAGACCATAACATTTCTCTCCTTAATGTTCTGTTTCTTTTCAATGCAGCAACCGGTCTGTACTATGTAGCCGAGATTGTAGAGGAGTATACTCGATTGACACGTAAAGTTATCAACTACACCATCAAGGTCGTTGTCCGAACTTTTCATTCACTTTGACATAATCGATGAGTTGTAAGCAGGTTTCAGTTTATTTGCAATGATAGGGTTAGAATTTACTGCTCCCTCCCACTGTCCGAATCTCTGTCAACCTTCTTTGTTTACAACGGTATTTAGACAACGAGGGAGAATTTTGAATTTTTGTGGCCTTTGTTTTTCCTGCAGGTTGTCATCGGGATCCATTTGCTACTTTTAGTATGGGATCGTTTGCCCATTTTATGTATAGCTTTCGGGGTTGGAGCTCACGTGTTCTACTACCGGATGCTGAAGACATTTCCCTATATTACACTCACATCCGTTGACTTCATTGGCAGTGCCTGTAAGTACCGACCAGTCTTTTCTCATGCCTCTCTAAGATTTGTGTTGGTAGATTTGATGGGAGTAGAGATGAACGACGATACAGCAATACGAAGAGCCTGAGCTTCTTTTAGGAAAGTAGTACCTGGAGTATAATGTTCCTCTAGGTTGCTCGTTTGGAGGAAAAGGTATTAGGTTTAACGTCGTCGGTTTCTAGTTGCCCATTTGTCGAAGGCCTAGTTTATGGGTCGAGCTATCACTCTGCAGTAAAAGAAGCAAAACATGAGAGGAACCTGACTTCAGAACTTCAGAAAGAGCGGATAACAACGGGTGTCTCTGATCTTGAAATGTCTGACTGCAGGTCTCCTCGTCATCAGCCACTTGGTCTGGTTCCAGTTCTTTTTGCGAGACCCTCGCTGTGCATATGTCAGCGTAGAGTGGATGTTGGGTTTTATGCTGATCATGCTCTGGATCGTGCCGTTTGCGTTCTTCATCTCTCTGGCGGCGAACGAGAGTGTACTTCCGGGTGCCGGAGGTCCTTACCCGTACCAAGGTTACTCCCGTCTTGGTAAGTTGTCATCAAGTTCCATCATTTTGTTCAGGATCTGCGCCTGGGAGATAAGTTCATGAAACGCTGTAGGCAGCACTTATGCCGTTGTTCAAATACAGTTCAACAAGTACGCACTGCGTGGCAGCTCTCTTAGCCGTGTGAGAGAGCCTTCTTTTCCAGTGTGATACTCCTCTTTTCCCTGACATCTGTTGAAGCTGGGGCTTACCTATCCTATCTCGTACCCTCGGGAGCCTTTGCTTTAGGATGCACTCCCAATTTGGCATCCAATGTAGACCCTCGACGTGAGTCTCTTCTCGCAAGGAGAGAGTGGTGTCAGTGTCAGAGGCGTTTTCCTTCTTTCAATAGCAGTAGGACTGCCGTATAGACCCGAGCTGGAGATTTCAGTGTGCTCTTAGAAGTCATCTTACTGCACCTACGTTGACTTCTTTTCTCAACTGTTTGCCGCTCTACCAGAAATGGGGGATGTTGCTGAGAAGATGTACCGAGGTCTTGAAAGGGCTTATAGTTTCTCTTTCAATTTCTTTACCAGCTACCTCAAGAAAATAGTCTATGTCTGTCAATGAAGGAACTGCCTGACGAGGGTTGGTAAGAGAGACTGAAACTGCACCAAAACTTTCTTCCTGCTGTCGTTAGTTCTCTTTGACCCTGATCTGTCGTAGATCTCGCGTCATTGTATACCTCTTCTGATTGTATGTATCCCTTGACTGCCTGGGTGTCCTGATCTGATCCTCTGTCTGTGTCCAGATGCAGAGTCGTCTTCGTCCGGATCCAATGCCCACTCTCACTCGAGTGGTGGAGGCAGGAGAACGCGGAGTACATTCCTGAACTTCTTCAACTTCGTGAGAAAGAAAAAGGATGTTCTTCTACCTCAAGTGACATCGCGACTTCCATCTCAGTACCTCGGGCAAGGTTCAAACTCCAAAGCATACTAGGCCATCGGAGGGCCGCATTCTTTAGTCCATGTGTCGCAGTAGTTTTTGTCGTGGAGCTGTATAGTACGAGACCGCTCAGTTGCCGGTCTCCTCGGAAAGGAAAGATGAAGTTATCTCTTCACTTCAGCAGAGAGGGGTGGGCTTGCAAATTCGCAGTTGTACATAGGTACTCGAGTTTGATTGACACCTTTCTTCAGAGCATGGGTGGTTTTATCAAGGGTCTTGTGGTATATGGGTTTCCTACTTTCTTTATCTAACCATTTACGGATCCTAGCGTCTCGTGGAGGAAGTCCGCTAGCTGAAATTATTATGGAAAAAGTGAAGACGATGATTCAAAAGACGGTGTTTACGGAAGTGGGCACTCCATAATCTGGAGGAAGTTTTTCTAGACACGGGCATGAAAAACAATTGTTGATTCATATGTATTATTCGGAAAAGAACAAAGGTTTCTGGCGAAAATGAAAATTCAATGTCCATGACTCAGATCAGCCCCGTGCTCGCGTCTGCACTTTTTGGCAATGGATGATGATATGTCTGTCCCCCCGTGATTTACCTGTTTAGGTGTCTTTGCAATTCTGATAAGAACTGATGACGTCCTCAACTCCGCTTCATGACATCTTCGTAGTCATGTGGCGTGGACCCTGTCAACTCGCACTTTGCATGCCATTGTCGCTCCTGACGTTGCATGGCGACTGGTGGAAACATGGCGATTTTGAAGTGCCATCATGTAAGACTATCTTGCGACTTGGTGTGTTTAACTCACGTTCTGAAATACGTGTGTCCTCGCATCATTGAAGCTGCCACATTTCGAGGCCTGATGCAGATTGTCGCATAGATATCTCTTAGTTTGTAGCTGCCATCGCTTCTGATGAGATCAGACTCCGAAGTCACAAAGAATGTCAATAAGGAAATCGTCAAACATACGGCACAGTCTGTCCCATTCTCATGAACACGCAACAGATTGGACCTTACCGTGGTCGTATGATCAAGTATCTTACTGCGTCAAAACAGCAGATGCTATGGAGCGTACAACACGTGTGTGTACTCTATAACATCTATCAAGGATATTTACCCAAGGGTCCAGACCTCGAGACAGAGATGATCTGTTTAAGTTGGCTTATGGGCAAATGTTTGGTTTGAACGCGGCTTTGTCATTCGAGTGCATGTGTTTCGTCAGCCGGTGGGCGGTGCTGTTCTGTTGGAACTGTGCGTTTCAGTAACAAATAATTTACTCCTCTCGGATTCACTGTAGGCTGCATGGCTCTGGGCAGGATTTTCAGGCCTTGGCCTGGACCGAAGTGGCAGCAGTCTAGCACCATCAGCAGGTTTGTCGCAGCCGTAACACACAAGGGACAACCCTCTGAGGCAATTTTACGTCTCGTCGGATCTTCCCGAGGAGGAGCTGGCTGTTCTTTGCGCATTTACGTGGCAGGGACCTTGCTTTTATTGCGCTCATTACGTGTTCGACCAAGACATGTTTTTGGAAGAGGCTTCGCTCGATCCAAACCAACCATCGTCCCGTTGGGTTGTTTGTCTCAGACCTGTTTGTCGCAGTGCAGCTCCTGAATGACATCGTCACGTCATGTGTGACGACAAGCCCCTGATCTGCCCCTCGACATCGCGGTCGCCATCGTGTCTTTCGTTCTTACAGACTCCTGATGGTCAGTCACCCAAAGGTTTACATTTTGCTCCTCCTGCTCCTCCTGCTCCTCTGGATGCATCAGGCTCGGGCCGTGCCTTGCCTTGTCCCCACATCGCGCAGCAGCATCGGTGTCTCTCCGTCGTTTCGTCACATCGATCGCTGGAGGAGATACGAGACACAACTACCTCACTCACTTGTCTGGAGCCTCACACTCTCGGGTGACGTGAAGCCCGTCCGATCGATTGACGCTGTGTTGGCGTCTGTCTAAGTCCAGGTCTGCAAGCATGCGCACCGACGCAACACAATGCATGAACACGAGCAACGCTATAGCGTTGAATGAAAGGGGATCGAAATCCAGGGAAATGAATCGGGAAGGAATATGAATGTGAGACAGATATCATCTGCACGGATATAGCATACGGTTTGGCAATGTGGCAGGAAGATGAAGGCACGAATGCTGTTAACATGCTAAGGAGCTGTTTGCAATGTGCAAGGAAGAGCCAGAGTTGGGAGATTCGCTGGCATGAGTTTCGACACTTGGGTACCCACAGGGGCAGGCCAACACGTCTGCGAATATTCTTGTTTCTATCGCAAGTTCTGTGATGTCATGAGCAGCCACCACAACTTTCTCAAGACTTCGCATCAGCCACGGTCACAGAGTACGTACGGCTCATAGCCACTCTCTACGACATCTCTTGTCTCGGCGACTGTTCCAGGAGTCTACAGCCTCCATCCATTTCTCCAGGAAGCGAACAAGCACATTTTTACTCGTGCAAAATCTTGCATTGCTGAGCCATTCGACACCGACCTCTCGTCACGAGCGTTCCCTGCTTGATTACTGAAAGGACTACTACTACTTACTCTGAAGTACCCAGTACTCCGATGTCGGGAGAGAAGCTGCACCCTTTTCAGCATCCGAGGCACCAACTTAAGGAGCGTATCCTGCACTTACGGGCTTGCCTGAATTCGACAATGTAGCTCATTGTGGGCGACCGACTGACATGGCAGGTTGCTGGAAAATGCAGATTCTAAAACGAGTCGTCGTGTCCAATTTTTATTGAAAAAAGCTCAGTTGAACCTAGGCATGATAGATTAAGTGCACAACTTTCTTGAGCTTGTCCCGTGTCCGATGTCCGATGAAGCTTGCTCGTGTCTGGACGGGCACCAACGGAATGGAATTTTTTCGAGAAAGGGCCCAAATCTGCACGCTTTCTAGCGGAAAAGCGGCAGATGTGTGTTCAGGAGGAAATTCGGCTCCTCGAGAAAGCACATAGGGCCCCTTGGGCATCCCTGTAGCATGATCAAAGCAGGACTCCAACGCAAGACTTTAACGCACGTCTCTCTCTGATCCTTCTGCATGAATTCGAAGCTCGAGATCTGCGAGGATCTCGGCTCGCTCAACAACCCCTCGACTCGTCTCGAGACTGCAGCAGAAAGCGAAGCGAGTCCGTCGGTCGCTCCAACTCCAAGCTGCACCTCAACTGCGAAGAAATCTTTTCGTTCGGCAGTAGGACCCAGGGTCAAACTCAAAAGACGCGGAAAATCTCATGTCCAGACGAGAGCCGAGGTCGACTCTGAATAATTCCAACCATCCCAACAATTCCAGCATAGTTTATGCTCAGGGCATCATTCATGCCAGTGCATTTGGTTCCCGGTCTTGATGCTCATCACCGACTTCCGTGGACGTGGAGATTCTTTTCGTGAGGGACTGCTAGATTTTACAGCACGGACTGAATCTCACTGAAGATTGGCCCACACTTTGCAACGACAGCAAGCCGCTTAAACAACGTACTGCTCACACTAGACCACATTTTGAGCGTCTGCAGATGCAAGGCTAATCAAGCTCGTTTAATTTTTCATTCATTTCAATTTTCACAAATCGCAAGAGATTTGAGCCAGGCAAAAACTTTAATTGATCGTTTCAAGATGCAGCATCTACTGCATTGACTCCGAGATCGAGCGATACTATTGCTCCATCGAGGTTAATAGTATTTTAGCACATACTGTATTCTACAGGGAAGAAGTAGATTTGTTGATGAGGATTGTGGAACGATGTGACTGTGGATTTGAAAAGCCAAGATTCTTCTCCTAGATTTCTGATCTAGAGCCCATGATTTGTGATTTGTGAACTTGTCACTGTCAGTTATTCATACAGTATATGACAAGAACCCACAGCATAAGTCCTTATACATAAATCTCGCAGCAACATTTGACATGATCTATTGTCTTAAGATTCTGATCGTGAAAAGAATCCTAAATCTCAATAAATTCATAGCGAGTAACGAATTGATATTTTCCAATTTAATACAACATTATGTACATGTTATTCGAGGATGAGAATCAATGTGTATTCTAAATTGTTTTCACAAAAACAATTACCATCTTTCTCACTAAACATTGTTTTTAATTCTAGATATTTAATTATTTTTTGATAGAGGATTTTTACTTTACTTTACTTTATTTTTACTTAATTTTTTCCTCTGAAATATTTAATTAAGTTTTGTGTCATCATTTTCGTGGTGAAAGGATGAAAATGCGATGCAGGAACATTACATGTTTATGTTCGACAATTAAAGATGTCCACATGAGAAGTGAGACGTGGGATCACGTACTAGACCTGATCGCTAATTCCTTGAGTGTCTTTTTTATTGGACTGGAAGGCCATCACATTTTGAGGGATTAATTTCCTTCAACTTGGAATTAATTTATCACAAAGTAGTTATTGGCATCACAAGCTCTTGATTACACGTACAACATTTTGTACGTGGAATCAAGAGCACTTCCTACTCTCCTTATTTCCTGGGGAACGAAATAGTGCACGTTAATTTTTTGAATGAATTCATTATTCGTGCTCTGCCTTAACTTTGTCGTTTTTGTTGGCTTTTTTGGGGGAAAAAACAACAGCAGTACATACAAAAGTATACACAGTAATCAAAATAAAGTCTTACACAAAAGAACCAAATGCTTGATTTCTCCAACGCTGACATTCACGTCAAAGTCGATTGCACGCGAAGTGATAGTTCGAAACTGTTCCGGATATCAGTATTTGGAAACATTCTGACTCGATGAATGTGTTGAGCTTGTTGAGCTGGCTTACATTCAACTTTGTGGATCATGGAATCTCAGGACATGACTCATGTGGGGATCCTATAGATTCATTTGATCGTTCTGAATTTAATTCTCCCAGCAAAAGACTTCCCAGTGTACAGGGATTGACATCCACATAGCGATTCGTCGGTCCAAGATTATCGCCCTGTTCCGTGTTTAAATGTTCTCCTTGCCGGGCAAAGGCCAGTCGCTGCCCAAGATGAGCGGCCAGCTGACCCCGTGGGATTCCCTACACCCTGCACCCTGCATCGGAAAAGTCGAACCAGATTAAATCGAGTATCCAGGCCAAATTAAGGGCAAATTTCATGATTTTCAGATGCATTACTTATCCTCTCTGAATCGATACGAATATGAGCAGACGATGATTCTTCAGCTTACACCTTTTATGTATATCGGAAATCTGGACAGACTCACTGAAAATCAACAGGGCAAGTAAGCAGGGAAGCAATTTAGCCAGAGCTCCCGCAACTTTTGCAGCTGCCAATTTGCTTTTTCTACAATGGCAGCTGCAAAACTTGCTCCACTATCCTCCCCCTCAGTCTCCTTATTCATTCGTTTTTGGTTTCTCTAGATTTTTTCTCGATTATTGTTCATTCCTCCATTGCGTCTATGATACGATGACGTTTTGATTGGGTATCGACAATTACCTAAAAGTTTATTGCTTATTCAAGTGGCAGATACAAATGCTTATTGACACGGTGTCTTGGCTGGCTTCGTTCAGAACCTCGCGATATTTGCGTAATCCCGATTCTCTCGTACCATTCATTCGAGGATCAGTGCCTTCGTACTATTCAATCGTTCAACGCTTCCATGGTGACGATACCTCATCACAGTGCAATAATACGGGTCTTTTCTTAGCCCCATAACAGGGCGCTGATCTTGGACCGACGATTCACTTTGTGGATGTCGAATCCTGTTTCAGTGCCAGGTGACACTAAGTGACTAGTTAAATCAGTCCACTTTTCTACTTTTAACTGGCTCTACCTATATTTTCTTTTTTGGGAGGTTTGCTTTTGGAGACCTTTGAGGTGCATCCAGTAGATTTCACCATGGCTCAAGACGGTCGTTACACACCCATGCCACATGTGGGTCAAAAAGCCTCTTTTGGAAATATTTGTTTCGAGGTTACTTCAAAGTCTACTACGGTAGATTTCAATGCATATTGCAGTACAATAATTTTCATAGTAAAAATGGAACAGTGTATCGTGTTACATATTTGTTTACTGTTTTGATGTAATTTTGAGCAACTTCTGGTACTTTTTGTAAAATTTCCATCCTCAGCATGGGAACTTATTTAAAATCTCCTGGATGATTAATAGACTTTCTAAAACATATAGTACTTAATTTTGCTTGAGTAGCAACTGAATCTATAAGGTATTACAAAACATTACTTCCTATATTTGTATAAGGAAATAAACAGAAAAAATGTATTGTTCTCAATATATATATATATATATATATATCAATCATGAAAAGGTTTAGAATTATACTAGTGTAATATAATCCGGAGGAAGCCAGATATATACTATGGCTTCCTCCGCATATTGTCTCATCATGGTGGAGTTTCCTCTTCTCCAGTGATATTTAAAAGGTAAGATTTCTTTGCACGATCATGTACTAATCGTACATCTTCGGCCCTTTTTGTCTTCCCTTCTGATTACGTATAGCAAGATTGTGCAAGTCTCAATTAGAAAACATGATTATATTGTGTATTAATTTGGTCCAAAATAATCTAATTTATGGAATGTGTTTAGGTTGTCTCGTTGTGTTTTGTTGGTCTCTTATGTGAAGTGTCAACTTTAATAGAATGAAAAAATTACTTAGTTATGAACAAATTGAAATTAAATTGTAAATTTGTGACACGATCATTACAAAGGTACATAATAATGGAAAAGATATAAAACAAAGCTTGATATTGAAGAGAAGTATATGATAGGAATCTCGTATATGATAATTTCATGTTCTAGTTTATTTAGATGTAGATTCATTCTTATTCGGCTAATATGGGATTTTTCTTTTTTCTAATCACATAACGAAATCACCTCATTAAAATGTAACTACAAACTTGAACATGTTGTCGATTCAATCACGAAGTCGTGTTTAGGCTAGCTCGGACCAACTTTGGAGATTATAGAACCATGCTTAATGTCTGGGTTTAAGTTAGTCTCACCTGAAGGGATAGGACATAACCTAATAAGTATTCCACGTTAGTTCACAGTAAGGGGTTAAAAACTCCCCATAGTAACGTACACTGGTGCTAGGGTTTTACTTCACTGACAAGAATAAAGTGATTAAGCTTGAGTATAGCTTACTAATAGTAACATACATTCGTGTTAGAGTTAGATGTCAATGATGAGAGGTGTGTAATCTTGATAAAACCTCCTAATAGTAACATACATTGGTGTTAGAGTTAGATGTCACTATTGGGAAATGTTAGTTATAAAAAGTAAGCGCATAGACTTCTTATCTTACATTACATCAATCTTAGGATATTCTATAAATGTGATTTTGGTTCCAAAATCGGCTTCATTTGCACATCTATATTGTTCACAAAAAATTAACTTAGTAATCACAATTGCGTTTGAATCCAAATTAATAAACAAAATTTTAAGTTAAACAATTGATGATAATGTATGTAGCAAAATATTTTACTAAAACCAAAAGAAGAAATTGTTGAGATAGACCTTAAAATAAATTTATGTCACATTACTATTTCTCATAGGTATGTACAGAGTTAAACCTCCTAATAATGTCACCTCGTATGAGTGAGATACTCTCATTAGTGACGTAAAATTCCAGAACCATTAGTTTTTAATTTGTAAATCTGCTCAATAAAAATGGTATGTCACTTTTTCCAATAGTGATACGATATTTTTCAATATTGACAATTTTAAGTGTAATTTGGGAGTAAAAATTCCTATCATGATCACAATACATTGCTATGAGACTAAAAAATTTTCAAAAAATTTGGCAAAAGTTTTGTTAAAGGTATAGCTCAACAACTCACTTTTCTTGAGCTTTAGTAAAATAATTTGTGACATGTATTACCATCAATTTTTTCATTCAGATTTTTTTTATTAAAATGAATTCAAACATAATTATAATGTCTATGTTAATCATCGTGAGAAATACGGATGTGCAAATGTAGACGATTTTGAAACCAAACAACACATTTAAAGAATGTCTTAGGATTGATATAATGTAAGATAAAAAATCTATGGATTTCTTTAAAATAATTGACACCTCCCAATAATGACATCTAACCCTAACATCCATGTATGTTACTATTAGGAGGTAGTTTTAAAATTAAGCACCTCCCTACAATGACATCCAATTCATAAACCAATGTATGTTAATGTTATGAGGTTATGCACACTTTACTCTTGTGAGTAACACTTCACAATACTGACATAAAACCCAAGTACCAATATATGTCACTATTGGGAAGTTTAACTCTGTATTATAACTACTAAATTAGAGTAGAACGGTCACTATTGGAATCATGTCCCGGTTGGCAATAGTGACATACCTTTCTTATTGAGCAGATTTCAGAATTTTAGATCAATTTGAATTTGAAAGTATGTCAGTAATAAATAAAAGGTGACACTATTGGGAGGTTTAGGAATTCTAGATCAATTTGAATTTGAGATGATGTCAGTCATAAATAAATGGTGACACTATTGGAAAATTTAAGTCTGAATCGATGAGCTGTACAGGTATCCTAATTCTCACCATTGAGTGTTTGTGAAGTGCTTAGGTCTGTAGGGCATGTCTGATTCGACGACGCGTGTAGAGTTGACAGCTTAATCGACGGCTATTGCTAGTCGAGTTTTGAGTGATTTATTCCCAGCCTTCAGATACAAAGACGAGTTGAATATCCTTAACTACTGTATGGAGTTTTGAGGTGGCATGGCAGCCACAACTCGTTGCGAGTTAGTGCTGACGACTGTGGAGCATCAGAGCTGGTCTACATCGCTGGTGGCAGAGTTCGCCATTTTCTGAATGTGGAGGGAGGAGGAAGGCCGTGCCAGATGAAACTCAAATTCATTGCTGAAACTGAGACTGGACAAAATCGCCTGCTTGCCTGCGTCGAAATTCAATGATATGGGTGATGGAATCCACTTCGACTTTGGGTTTCGTGCCTCGAGGCTGGTTGGATTGGATTTGAGGCTGTTCGACTGCTCATAGTTGATTTGACCGCCTCCCAATTCACTGGGGGTTGGGAAGACAACAACTCGTGCTTACGACGTAACTTTCGGGCTGAGTTGAGTCTGGTGAAAAATTGGTTGTCGTTTTCTAAGTGTCATGCCCAATCCGGAGAGGGGCAGTGAAGAACATATATATTTTAGTATTATGAACTATATACATAAAATACGGTACTCCTATTTCAGCATCGAACTTTATGATTGTCATTATTCACGTTTATATTCCTCATCAGTCCCTTGGCCTTAAAGCCCTGATATTAAGCTTGCCTTCTATGGCCTTTGTACTTTTCACGTTCGGCCTAGCACTCTTCGTTCATGCCCCAGTTGCTGCTGCTACTGCTATTTTAAAACCCCGATTCACCTTCGTCCTCACTATGCTTGGTCACAACTTGAATGTGATGTAAAGCCAACAACAGTGCTCAAATCTTGTTCACCTGATGAACACGATAAGAGGTTATGATTTGCTATTTTCAGACACGAGTGAACCGGGCGGACACAGATCAACAGCCCTGGATATCCTGCAACGATGTGCCCGCTTGCCCTTACCCGGTCGGGGGGGCATTCATCCTGGTGCACACTGCGGACAGCTCGGGGACCTGGAACATGATTATAAAACTGCGATCGGGTGGAGAGCATTACGTCTTGTCGAGCCATGGTGACGATAGGAGGGAGCCAAAATTCTCTGAGTCACGAGTCAAAGAGAAATTTCGCGAAACGCTTCGGAATGAGAGATATGGAATTTGGGGCCAAGTGAATCTCGGAACTGGATGTAAGTAATGGAAGTGGCCACTGTCGACAGAGAGAGCGGGGGAGGCGAAAGAATTAAAATATGGGCCTCGTTGTCGAGCTCCATGGATTATGCACTCGAGTGAGTCCACATTCGGGGCCAGAAATAGCTCCTTCGCTGCGGCTCTCCTCCTACAAATGCACTGTGCTTGTCATTATGCGCTTCACGAGGATCTGTACCAGATGCAGCCCTGGCAGTCAACATCTCCAGAGCTGGCTCTAAGGCGTTGACAATGTCGAGAGTCAAACGGATAGATCAGGGCACGAGTCTCCCGACACAGCATCTTCGGCCTCAGATTCCCCCCTGGAACCGCTTTCTCCATTCATGTGCACACATCTAGCTCGACTGCCACCCCTCCAAGCTTCAATCTGAGATTCTTCCGAGTACCCGAACCCAGCTGAGATTCTTCGGATGTGCTTCAGCAATCGAATCGAGTGAGAGCTCAGAGAGAGAGAGAGAGATGCTGGTTGCCTTCAGGGACACGCAAAAGGCCCGATCTTCTGATTTCACGCTCGGACGTTCAACACAGTTTTCGGCAAGGCTTGCGTTGCGTTCCAACTGACCACTCACCAGCTCGCTTGGACCTGCGGCCCCCGAAATAGCTGCCGCATACATGCTTACAGGCAACCCCTCACTTGCTGCGGCTGAAAGCAGTTCCACTTTGATCATGCTGTGATCTCGCGGCATGCCGCACGATTAGGACCTTGTCTGCTCGGGCGCTCTCTCGCCCTCTCTCTCTTACAGGTCACAGATGTGTTTAGTTTAGAAGGGAGCTGGCGCCGCCTGAGCTGCTGCAGCGGTGGCTGATAGAGAGAGAGAGAGAGAGACGTGGTGGATCTCGTCCAATGCGCGCATTTAATTTATTGTAGAATAGATCCGTGGAGAGCACTGTTCTATGGAGACGAGGGGATGGGTATAAGTTTTGGATTGTCTGCTTGGTGAATGCGGGAACACTTGCCTCTGGTTGCTGCGGTCATGGAGGGCGTGCATCTGTGCATGCTCTAGGAGATTTCCTCCTGCAACCTCCGTCTGCATCAATGGATCATTGAGGTACGATTTTCTGATCCCTCGCGCTTTGATGATGAATCAATCCCCAGTCGTCGTCGGTTGGCAACCGCTTGAGTCGAGACGGTTTTGGAAATCCGTACTCGATCGAATTCCAGCCGTACTCGTTCTATTTTCTCACATCCCATCGATCCATTTCTCAGTGGCCCAATCGACCACTACCTTAGCTCTTCCTGATACCGAGCTCTCTCTCTCTCTCGCGCGCACAAGTTCACTTTGCCACCACGACCTTCCTGCCATGCGCATCATCCGAGAGGATTCCTGCAATGGAATGCTGGAGTCGAAAGTTGAGAGGCTTTGTTGCGCATGTGAATTGAAATAGTTTGCTGCTGCTCCTTGAGCCTTTGTGAATTTGCAAGTTGAGGACTGGCAGAGGGCGAACGAACCGAGTGATGCTGGGTGGGAGGGAGGTGCCATGGTGCCATGGTGGTGGTGGCGGTGGCGGGTTGCAGTTCGGTGTGCAGTTCCACCAGCTCGGGACTTGAATGAATGAATGAATGAATCGACGGTTAGAAGAGTCGGGGTCATTGTTCTTGTACGTGTGAAATCGTTCGTCCGAGCCTCGCATCGAGCAGTTCTCGCACCTGATGACTGACACACTTTGCGATGGCAGATTCAGAGGTGCGCTCGGTGCCGCGCCATTCAAACGAAGCGTCGAGACGAGACGAGACTAGAAAAGAAGGCCGGCACGAGGTCTGAGGTGGCTCTGTCCTCTCGTTCGTTGTTGTTGTCGTCAGAGGCGGCGGCATTTCTTCTCGCTCGAGAAATCAAGTGTCTGTCGGCCTGCTCAGCATGGTTCGAGCCTGCACGGAGCTGTTCGGCTATTCAAGCATCGCAGAGTCCGATGGTCCATGTGCCGTCGTCGTGTGCCATTTCCATGGTGTGATGATCGATCGACGATCGATGATCGAAGAAGAGTGACTGATGTCTCGGAGAGCCATGAAAAAGGCCTAGATTCTTTCGCATGCCGTGCAGTTCCTTTCTCTGTTTTCTCTCCCGGTGAAGGCAGAAGCGAGAGCCCCAGTTGGTAGCCAGCCAGCGAAAGTGAGACAAATTGGTCACGCATTCGAATTTGTCGACAATCATAATCATGGGGTTGAAGGAATCGGAGGTGATGAATCTGGTGAACGCCGTCGTGCCACTCTACATCTCCATAGGATTGGGGTACACGCTGTCGAAGCTGAAGGTGCTGTCGTACGAGGTGCATTATCAAGGAATCGTCACCTTCTGCTTCAAGGTCACCACTCCGCCGCTCGTGTTCCAGATGGTGGCCAACAACAACCCGTACCTGCTGAACCTTCGTCTGATCGGAGCCGACGTCTTGTGCAAAGCCATCGTGCTGGTCGTGCTTGGTCTGAGCTGCGTCTGGCGGCCCACGGCGCAGCATGTGGCTTGGGTCAGTGTCTACTTCAATCTGGCCACCATGTCCAACACCGTCCTCATTGGAATTCCTCTTCTCACTGCACTGTATCCCGGCACGGAGAAGGACATCACGGCCCTCGTGTTCTTGCAGTGCTTGATTTGGTTCAGCGTGTGCATCTTCATTCTCGAGCTCCATAAAGTGCTTGTCCAGTACGATCCAAAGCAAGCTCATGAGGATCCGGTACACGCCGTCGTTGATGTGGAGAAGGAAGGAGGTGAGCCTGGATTCGGAGGCAATGACCTGATGAATGTCGAACATAGGATCGGGGCAAGAGTTGCTCAAGGAAGTCCAGCTGCGGGAGATGAATCAGCGCTCAAACACACCCTCGCTATCGACTTACAGACGAAGAGCGTTACACCGATACCTGAGGCGAGGGTTCTCAGGGTTTCCAAATTTTATCTGGTGAAACGAATCACGATGACCGTCGCAATGAACTTCGTCAAATCGCCCATTGTTTGGTCCAGCATCATCGGCTTCACATATGCACTGCTAAATTTCAGGTACTTGGCCTTTCTTTCGGCTATAATCCCTCTGTAATTGACTTCATAGGTCGGAATCGGTATTTTCATGTAGATTGATCGTACTTTTGGGAAACAGAAATAGAGTCTTCATTTCGATTGAGCAATGATTAGATATGCTGACGACGTACCATGCCCAGACATACGTACGGTATGTATTGGAAAACCTGGTATCCAATACATACCAGGTTTTCGACGGAGAAAATTTCTTCCTGGCTAGAAGTAGGGAAACAGCAATGTGTTCGTGTTATGGCTAGAACGAAGGTGGATAGTATGGTTGACTTCAACACTGGAGTAAACCCTTCTGACATGTACCTGGAGTTGTGATTCAGATTCAATGACGGAAAACCGCTACCAGTTATCATCAAGTCCAGCGTTGCACTCTTGGCCAACTGCACCCTTGGGATGGCCATGTTCATGCTAGGTTCGTAAATACCCAAATCTTGAACCCGCCGCTTGACTTGCTGGTTTTCCATAGTACGGTGTTCTCTCTGCTGGGAGAACCGTGCCCATGAACGCTTGAGCCAGGAAGAAGTCATTTGGCTGCTCTCGATCTGATCATTTCTTCATCTGTCGAGTGAATAACGAATCAAATACTCTGTGAGTTCGGAGATTCATTCATAGATGCATGCGGATCACGTTACGATTGATCACAATATGTGAGGGCATTACACCGATGCATGAAAAGTCGGTCGATAGATCTTGATATTTATGCGGCTAATGTCCTGTAATCTGATTGAATTTCCGTTTCAGGTATGCATATGGCTGCGCAACCAACACTGATATCATGTGGACTACATAGAGCACTGATGGGTGCTGTTCTCAGATTCTTCGTCTCGCCTGCTGTTATGGCCGTTGCTTCGACAATCGTCGGTCTCCATGGGGAGATATTCCGCTTTGCTGTTATGCAAGTAAGGCCCACCTTCCAGCTCAATTAGAAGCTCACGCACCTGATTCGAGGGACAGCCAGCTTTCCTTATTGCTCGATCTCGTCACTGAAAGAAATGCGCAGGATTCAACTCTCTATGACGTGAAGACATCATATTTCTGGGTATTTTAGAGTGTGTTTGGGCGTCACGATGCTGTCGATGCTGTCACGCGTTGGATTCACTGTTGCTTGCAACTTGCAATGTGCTTACAAGTTGAGCATGTTTGCTTTACTCCATTGACTGTTTCTGGAAGTAGTCGCTGCATTGTGTTCTTTTTTGAGCACGTAGTTCCCCGGTTATGGTCTTGTGAGGGTGAAAAAAATTAGTCGAAGATTCGCTTTGGTCTGGGAAAATTCCTGGAATCCGGACACCACAATCTGTATACTACTACAGATCTAAGGTGGGGACTCAACAGACAGAGATAGAGCCATTGCTATTAGTAATAGCAGTGATCATGGGTAATAGCCTATTACCCATGATCAGTGCGATCAGACTTTTACCTGAAAGGAAATTTGCAACTTGTGTCAAATCATTCGCTGTCAGAGATTTCTTAATATCTGATACTGGAGAGTTTCGATGAAAATTCTGGAAGGAAGTGTGACACCCTTTCGTCTCGTCCGGTCGAAGAGAGTTTCAGTTTTCGCCAAGTCTGGTTGTGTTGTACCCTGAAGTGCTGCCGATTGTACTCCAATTCAGGAAGCTTGTCATACTGATGGTTTAGCAATTCTTGTCTTTCGCAGGCCATGATCCCTCAAGCAATCACTAGCTTCGTTTTTGCTTGTAACTACCACGTACATGAGGACATTTTCAGCACAGCGTAAGTCAATTCGATGATACCTGTCAGTGGCTTTCTCAACTTTCATACCCAGTCACGTTGAATCTACATAAGTATCTGCAATCTGTCAACATCGATGGTTCAATTTCGACTAGATTCGAGGATCGGCTGGTACATTATCAATGACGTGAATCCGGACCTAGCCCCATGTTGCGCTTTCGATTTCATACTCGTAGGATATGATGGGGTCTTTTCTATCCTTTTTGTTACTTCAATGTGTCACCCTCTTAAATTTCTTCAAATCAAAGGGATTGTGTAGTCTGCATGAGGAAATCTTGATCACATAACTCGTAACATAACCTGATGATGTGACGGAAGGCTCAAGATGTGTCTCTTCACGTCATCAAACCAGTCACAGCAAGTTTCTGGCAATCTGTACTTCTTTGTTGGAAATCTGGAAGAGTTTAGATTTCCTACAAAGAAGGATCTTCGCTTATGATTGTTTGTGTCTTTGCTTGAGGATGAGAACTTCGTACTGCTTAAGCTCCTTTATCAGGATACTCTGCAAAGTGAACCTGGAAGTCTTGCTCGTGTTTGTGTACTTTCTCTTCACAAGCAATCACTAACCTTATAAATCAAGATCATGGTGGCTGCTCTGGGCCTCAACATATGCCACCAAGAAGCGGCAATCTCACGGAAATCAATAAACCGCTGAATTGGCAGAGCTCCGCACGACTGTGACATACTGCAAGTCCTATAGTCAAGCACTTATGTGCTTATCCGATCTATCAGGAGCTTGTCTGTCATGCATATGGTCTTCGTCACAAGACCCATTTCTGATCTGGCTTCGTTTCGACTTGTGCAGGGTGTGGTTTCAAACCCTAATTTTCTTCCCTTTCGCGCTCGCTCTGTACACCATCCTAAATCTGAGCGCTTGATCTTCAGTTCGCAATGGCGGCCGAAAATTCTTTGAATAAGAATCAGATTCTTCAGGAGTCAGGGGCTAGAACGAAGGCGAAACTCGCGCAAGCTTGTTTGCTGCCATATCCGCGAGACTCAAACCGGGCGATCGATGGATGGAAGGATGGGTCGACTGGTTGGGGAATGAGAACTGAGGAAGTTCAAGGTTTGGTAAGGTGCGTGTACTCATGAGACAAATCTGCCGTCACCGAAGCAAAAGTTGGCTATGGTAGCCGACTCCGTTGAGTCGTGCGTGGGTCTCAACGGTCTCGATTCCGAAGTTGCTCGCCGATTCTGATGAGTTTACATATCGATGTACAAATTAGTTTTTCAATCTTCGACATATTTTAGCGGAACTTACTGTTTATACTTCAGTCACGGTCAGGACTGCGGTGTCAGCTCTCGGGGGTGGGTTCTGTGATCATGACCTCGATCGATGCCTTGCACCTCTCGTGGATGTTGTTGGCAAGATGATCGTCTAAATCACTCCGCCTCCGTCGTCGCTGCAGCGTCCTGGCTCGGCTGAACCCTTCTTGTTAGTGCACACGGGCAGAGTTCGACACAAACGTGACGTAGATTTCGATACAAGTTAATGAAGACTGTCAGAACTCAGGCACTGATTCAGTTGATGTAATCCCTAGTTATGCCCGAAGACATCCGGCCGGATGTCTCGACAAGAAAGGTTTAGCAACCTCTTTTTTGTAGCGGGACATTCCCTTGAAATAGAAGTGACGAGGAAATCAATAGAAGGCAATTCGCTGTTCTTGCCCAGGCAGAGGCAACAGTGCTTTCTTTGCACTCAAACTGCAAGAGATATGATGTTCATTCCGATGCGAAACCTTCCACTTTCCACTTGCTCCGCTCGCCATCACGACGACGTCTGATTAACATTGAGTGGATGCCCGACTTTGGTGAGATCAAATGCTAGTGGGCAGCCAGATCGATCATTACATGGATCTGTGCATTTTCTGCTTTATGTACACGCAATTTGGCGGTGACAAGCTGTATTTGCTGTGAAACTGTTTTCTTCTCGGCAGAAGTGGCCACATGCTCGAACCGCCTGAGCTGAGAAGCGCACAATCATCACGTATCGCCTGATCATCTCGTAACTCCACCGGACCGACCGAACCACACATAGACAGACAGACAGACAGACAGACAGACATTCAGCCGAGACGGATTTCAGCGCGTGCTGGCCAATCCACATCACCGGCCCTGCACAACAGCACTCGGTCAGCTCAGGCAAGAGAGGACGAGAGCTGATCTCTTGCGCCACGAAGAGTAGACCTCGGAAATTCGAGAGTGATAATCGCCGCTCCGAGCTGTCGTTTGTGGCCGGCGAGCTCGTAAGCAGACGGGCTAGTCTGCGCCACGCCAGACCATCCCAAATCAAACCATGGAGGCGTAAGAACACAACTAAAGACAGGAAAACAAGCGCCGAGAAAGCAGATCCGAGACGATGGATGAGTAGACGAGGGACGCGAGAATGTACATAGAGTGTCGAGGGATTCTGCGCAGGGGTACTGTACTGTACTGTACTGAACTATCGCACGTTCAAGCCTTGTGTGTCTTGGGGCCGTGGCTTGCCCCTCCCAAAATGGCTCGAACGACTATAAATGACAGTGGAGGTCTTACTATTTCCGGATGCTCTGGGAGCCGAAAGTCAACGAATTAATGCTCCGTGCTCCACTTGTCGCCTTCGCTGCTTACGGCCCCGGACTGTACCGTATAATACGGCACGGAGGGGCTCGACAGAGAAGGCCATTGATTGGCCTCCGGAGCCGTCGATGTCGAGAGGGTCCCGGAGGACATGCATGCTGTCGATCGGGTCTCAAGGGTCTCGAGGGTCTCAGGTCTCTCGAGGACATGCGGGAGGTGTATCAGGTGGGAGGAGGAGGTGGAGGGTGCAGGGGACGAGGAGCTCTGAATTCTCTTGCATTCATTCTCTTTCTCTCGAGCTGCGTACGACAAAAATCTCGGATTGCAAGCCGTCTCGAGAATGAGTAGAAGCAGAAACCCTGTTCGTCGTCGAGCTCGAGGGCCGATTTTATGTCGCCTGGAGCTTCTGCGAATGTGCCCATCGGGATCATGGTGGAGTGACCAGCCGACAAAGGTCAGCCCCGTCTGACTCGGAAGAGAGTGCAATATTTCCGTGGTGGATCGAGGTCGAGGATCGAGGTCTGATTGCTAACAAATAACATGCGGTTGCATTTTGGTCGGTGAGCCAAAGTGCCGGAATGGATATGCTTGAACAGTGATTTGTGTTCTGTCAGCAAGGAACAGGAAATGTGATATTGGCCACAGAGACGCAATTTCCTTCCGATCGAAAGCATCTCAAGGCCAACACTTTTATAAGAACAGGTGCAAAAGTTTGTAAGCATTGATATAAAGCCTGGATTTTGTTCGATTTACGTGAAATTTGCCCTTGAATCGACGATCTGAGAAGCGCACAGAACATCGAGCCAAAAATCACTGCTGCGATTTGAAATCCTCAACTCCCAGAAGACATTTCCTGGTTCATATGTACAATGAGTGATCATGATTGACACTTCTCAGTGCGTGGTGAATAGATTGAACCGTACACAATCCCAATACGTTCAATACATGGCTTGCCTTGGGGGAGTGCAGCCATCGTCTGACAACCATCGATCATGGTCCCGTGAGTTATACTCTTCAATATCAAATTCCTGGTGACATGCCTCCCTCATCTATGACTAAAGAATTCCACCGTCGCAGAACGTTTCGGTCAGTTCGAGTTCAATAGTATGACAATTATTTTCACTTGATCGCAGATCGAGAAATGCACGAGGGATGCATCCAGACGTGACGATCCAAGCATGCACCACTTGCCAATCAGCGAACCACTGTTTCTCTACAGTCTTCGCTGTAACAGCTCAGAGACCATAGCGCTCTCCATTTCCATCGTTTGGACGACGATAATAATAATTCCACTCACGGCGTAGTGCACGGGCAGCACTCCATAACTTGATAAGTGCACTTCTTTATTCCTCTCACTACCACATTCTCCACACTGTATCAGGTTTGACTGTTAGCCCACGGCTGGAGAAGATATATTAGCACATGCCCACCGTCGACAGCTCTGAGATGTTTGCCATAATCACGTGACCGAAGCGTCCTCGCGCTGACACTGAAATCTATATTCCCATAATCAGAACCCATGAATCGGATCAAATCATATCTCTGCGCATATCTCTCGTGCCCACTTGAACAATCTTTCAGAATTATCGCACCCTAAAAGGAGCTTCGTTTTATTGAGGAAGCCTCCTCCTGAATTATTTACAGCTCTCAGGCCTCGATACCAGACAAAAGCGATTTGACTTCATTCTTCCATCCTCTACCTGTCAAAATTGTTTGGATATGGCAGCGATATGGATCTTACACGCCTCCTAACTATTGCTCGACCCATGAGCGTAACTCTCCATTATTACAGGTCCCACGGTTCTCTTGAGTGTGTGATATATCCCTCTGTTGACATCTTTCAATGTACATAAACTACACCACGGCAAGGATGTGGCTATTCTTATCTTTCGGCTTCTACGTGCGTCCACGTACCATAAAGTGCAATGGCCTGGACTATTTCGTTGACAGTTGTTCAGGACGCACAAGGACCGGTGGCAACTTGCACTCGCTCCTGCCACTGTCGCTGCACAGAAGCTCGTGGGAAGTTCAGACGACCCATCCTCCTTCGATTTCCGGTCGTCAAGTAATTTGTGGATATATACAGGCACATTATCTATCTTGCAGATCTTGCGATCTTGCAGTTTAAAATACCTCCATAAGGTAGTACCATGCCAGCACAATGGGGATGAAAATGACCAGCTGGAATACGACCCTGCAGTTCCGCACAACTGACATGATCAGACTCAAGATGGATTTGGCGGGGGGTAGTTCAGTTCGCACAATGCATGCACTAGTCGCTGACATGCCTCGTTCTGGACAAGATTATCTAGTGGCATCGCAAACGGTGTGAAGGCTGAAGTTAAACTTACGCTGTGTTGAAAAGTGGAACATCGAGTCCATATTCCTTGGCAAGCACAAATGATATGACTCCTTGTGGAATCACCGCCTGAATGAAACGATAAAACGAAAATTACTTCGGAGGCATGGGAAAATTTCTCATTCTAAATCCCCAAAGGTGGTACATACTAATTGCAAGTGGCAGAGATTTTATCAATCTTACCTGTAATATGGCGAACTTAAGCGAAGTTCCCTGTAATCGAAGGGCGAAACCTGCTATTATCATTATAATTGGCCCCACCAAAAACCGCACGACAATCCCATACGACAGTGCTTTGAAACCGCATGAGATTAGTCGTCCACTTCTAGCCCACGCCATTCCTGTAAACAGATCGCCAATGTCATCAGGTCCAGTCCAATGTACAAGCACGAGAGAATCACCGTCGTTCTCAATCAAAGCATGAGAAATATATACAATATGTTTGAACTACTCAACGTGAGTCGCATTCAATTATCAACGGGAGAAATACACTAAACCAGCCTCAGATTGTCCGATAAACTTCTCTTTGTGGCTCATGCATAAAGTGTCCGCTGAACGTACCCATCAAAAATATTGCCAGCCCAAGAGCACCTTCACTGATAAGCTCCACCGATTTTCGAATTGGGTATGGCATGTTCCAATTGTATCTGCGGATCACACAGATTAAGTAGATCAGCGCTGGGTAGAAATGTGTAACTTGAGCTATTACAATAGTTAATCATTTACTTAGACGAGAGTTGAACAACTTCCTGTTGAAACACGATGTGATAGAACACTTACTTGAAGGCAAACAGAGAGTAGATGAGTCCTGCGACGCTTGCATATGTCAAGGGTACTTTCTTCACTCGATTTATCATTTTAAATGTGATAAGCGCCCATCTTGAAAGGTGGCTGCGTTTCAAAACTACAGTCTTCTTCTCTGCATGCTCCGCTTCAAAATCAGAATTTCCATTTTCTAAGTCAGGTTCACTCTTCTCTGTCTGCTGCTCGAACACATTCCTCGCCGTCTTCTCGTTCTGCTGATCCAACGCACTCATGACCGGCGAAGCTGGAGCCGGTGTACCTTTATCATCTGCAACCAGCCAATCAAACAGCGAAAAACTCTTCAACACCAAGACGGAGGAAAAGTGGCCGATACAATTTCTTGACATAATGACGAACACTTTCAGAAAGGTTTCAGGCATTGTTATGCAGTTTTGAGTGCCGTAAATTACCTGGATGGACCACATCGTTATTCTGAGGGTCATAGTCGAGATCGAAAACCCTGATACCCGGAGTGAATCTCAAAGACAGAGACCTGGAGAAAGAGAAACGAGCAGGCGCAGATATGGTGCGCTCCAGCGTGGGATCCTGGTTACCAGGAGGCACAAATGCGGAATGCAGCTTGCGTTTTTTGTGCCTGGGGTCGAATCCATCGGATTTTGCGGGTCCAACCGCATCGAGTGGACCGCTGCCACCGACAGTGACGAAAGCGGAATGGTGGACGCGTGTAATCTCGAGTTCCAGGGTGGATTTCGACATGAGCTGGTTCTGTTTCTCCTCCAGAAGAACGACTCGCAGCTCATACAAGCATATGCACAGATTGTACCAAACCAGCGACTGGAGAAAAATGATGGTCACGACTTGCGTGTACGCTCCCTCTCCGTAGAGCGGCACCAGCAGAGCGTCGCCGATGAGCACAGTGTTCGGGAGAGTGGCCAGCATGAAGAAGCCGATCACCCCTTCGATGCTTCCGCACTTGCAAAACCTCCACCACAAGCAGCCGCCGATCAGAACGAGCGCTTTGGAGAGAACGTCCGCTCCCACGAGGCGCATACTCGTCTGGTACGGGTCGTTAAAAGCCAGCAGATGGAACACGTACATGGGAACTCCGAGAGTCGAAACCCACTTGCTGATCCCCGGCGAGTGCACGGGCTCGATGATCTCGAACCTGGTGAGCACATAGCCGACGATCACCAGCACGTACACCGGGATGATGTGCTCCACCAGATGCCAGAAATCCAGCGCCGTCAACATGTTTACAGCGGTGACAGAATTTCCCTTCGGCTTTTCAAATGCCTCGACGATACGACTCGAATAGGATCTCCGATGACGACGTGAGCAGACCTGTCAGGCCGTAACAAGCCTCTGAAATCGTTCCACTGCGATGCCGAAAGAAATTCTTTTAAGCCTTCGGTGAAGGCTGGGGCATGGGGTGCAATGCATGCAGGAGTCCGTCAGCTTTACACAGCCATTGCGGATGGCAAGCCGGGGAACGATTCCACAACATTGGATAGCTAAGGGCCGATGCCACCGGACTCCATTTCACGTGACTGTATAAAAATCGAGTGGTACCTCAGATCCAGCACCGTCTTCAGCGCCAGTGGCTCTTCTTTTGACAGCAATAGTAGTTTCATTCATATGTGCACTCAATCTTTGCAGAACATCTTCAGACCCAAATCTGCAATGGTTCCGATTTCGTCCTGTACACGTCCGTGTCTAGAAACCTTGAGAAAGGGGAGTCGGAGGACGAGAGGTCGGTCCCAATTTAGCAAGGCCCAGGCTGAACGTGCAAATGCCTATGTACACGCGAGACACCGCCACCCCACCGAACCCACAGAGCGAGCGTCGACCTTCCCCTTGAGAGCTTGCTGCTGTAAGTAAGCTCACCTCCCCGGCTGCCTCGCCACTGTCTGCGGGTCTCTAACCTCTCACTCATAAACCCCGATCTCCAGCTTCAGCCCCAGCAAGCCCTGCCAACTTCTATAGCCCAAAACCTCAAGCACTCTGTACTCGAGCTCCCGATCCCAAAGAGGAAGCGTAATGATCTGAGGCTCGAATCAGATCTTATATAGCTGCTTAGTTCTGAACTGCCAACTGTTTTATATTTTGCTTAGTTGCCCCGTCCGGATTCTCTCAGGCTCTTTCTGGCTAAAATACTCTCTCTCTCTCTCTCTCTCTCTCTCTCGCCTGCCTGGAGTGGAAATTTACTTAATTTACCGCTTGCCTGGTTTAGCAGTAAGCTGACTTACTGCTAAACCAGTTATGCTAAACAGAGGTGCTAAAGTCTGACATGATAACGGTATATTTCTCGTTGACCTGCGTTCAGCGGGATTCTCTGGAGCAATCAGACCCCGTGGACAGCTGCTGGTGAATACTGCCTCTGAAGGTAGTACCTTAGAGGTTAGTTGAAGGTTAATCTGAATTTGTGGTCGACGAGACTAATAACACTTTGGGATGCGAAGGACGAAATTTCAATCGAAGTTTTGTAGTCAAACAAGCCACTCCTGCCCGCCGGGTTTAGTACGACGGCACATGACTCCCGAGTTAGTGAGTTAGTAAGTTTGGAGGACTTCAGGTCGGCACGGTGGTTGAGGTCAAGGCCATTTCTCAAGGATCGGAAGGCCCGGAACCATTGTCGTGCCACATCGGGTCTTGGACATGGCCACATGCGCAATCGGCTGCCACAGTTCCCGAAACCAGCGGATGGATTTCTACCAGTCTATCGGCTTTTTCCATCCGTCTCGTGTAGTTCAGGCAGCATTCCGTATGTCAGCGCACTCTGAGAGAAGGTGAAAAGGCCCTCGTCGCTCTCTCTCTCTCTCTCTCTCTCTTTTCGTCCTCGAGTCCGACCGCGACAGACATCAGGTCTACTCCATCATACAGGTCGCATTCAGTAAAGCTGCGATTCGCCGGCGTGCCCAACGAAGTCTCATTCACAGCGAGCGGGATAACTTGCACCACTCTAATCGGATGGAGGAGCAGCAGCAGCAGCTGCTGCTGCTTCTCGTCAGTAGTAGTGGCCCGTAAGTTGGCTCGAACTGTTCGCCGTTCGTCTCGACTCGACCGTCGACGCCCGGCTGACGTCTGTCCCATGACGTCAGCCTCGCGCCCGCTCTGTCAGCGCCGTGATGCGGTCTCCAAGCTCGGATCGGCGTTCGCAGCGACCTCTCTCCGGTGGGACTCTCCGCTGCGTCCGCCGGAAACTTGCTCCTCGGGTTCTAAATGAGGAAAGCGATGTGTCTCTCGCCATGCTCCTCTCTCTCTGCTCTCCTCTCCTGCACATGTTCTGTCTAACGTCACCGGATGACGTCACCGGATGACATCAGCAGGCGACGTCACTGGGATGACGTCAGGGACCCAGGGAGGGTTAACCTTGGGATGCCCTGCGCTGGTCTGGTCTGGAGTAGACCGGACGTGGTTCGAACCACGGGAGAGTGAGTTGAGTTGAGTTGGGTGACGTACTCGTGAATGACGCAGGGCGACGGTGGGAGGGATGGTGCCATGGGGGCCGGGCCAATTAGTCAGCGGCGGGTTCTGCTGCCCCAGATGCACGGAGCGTGCAGCTTTGCATGCTGGACGACGATCGAAGCTCGCTCGGTCTTGCTGCCGTCGAGTTACAGCTTTGGAGAGATACGTATCCCGAGCTCCATGAGCTTGTCTCGTGCTGCTGGCACAAGATCGGGGTTTGCTGATTTTCGAGACGAGACTTTCGAGAATTTGGATTTTTGCTTTTCGGATCTGAATCTGGGCCGAGTAGCATGACCAAGCCCCTGTTGGCTGCGATGATTACTGTGAGCGAAAGTAATTGGGACTGCTGTCTATGCTCGGCTGTTCGATTGTTGTCTTCGTTCGTTAATCGCAGTGCCTGCACTGTTTCGAAATATTGAGCGTGCATCTTTTGTCTTCTGACCTTTGCTCTTGTTATACGGACGAATCTGTTAATCGGACGAAAACTATCCATCAACACAATCATTCATTCAATATCATGTCTCCATCTGAGTCGCTCCAGACCTGTCGATGATGAAATCAACCCGACAACGACGATGGTTTGGCGTAGTCAGACGTATACAGACGAAATACAAGGTGGCCAGAGTTTCATCGCAGTAGAATGTATCTAGCTGCAGTGATACGCCTCGTTTTCTTGAGTGCTCGTTTACATTGACAGATTCGCTTGCCTAGAGTCTTGCAATATCGTCCATGTAAATTTCAAGATTATCAGCATCGAAGTTTCTGGAGACAGCATTCTAGACACTTGGCTGCTCTCCCTCCTGTCTCAATAAGGAGACAGGAGAGCACGTTTCAGCATGCTTCACGTCACCGTTCTCACAGAATGTCAATTCTTCGGTCAGCAAGACAACTTCACTGCTGGATTATAGTGGCAGAGCTTAAGCTAGTAATTCATCTCATCCGACCATGGGAGAAAGATAACTCAAAACTTTGAGTACGAGAGGGAGATGTGTTCTTATCAACTTGTCGATATGAGTCTCGAATGTCATCCACAACAATTTGCACTGATTGGGCCCAACTCTGGACAATGAATGCCCGTAGAAACTCAAATCGAAACTTGGGAGTCCAGTGATGTACGTAATAAATGATAGTGACTTTCTTTCACATTATGCTTTGGACGCTGCCTCAAATCAGAAGAACCAAGAGGCCAGAAACCTTTAATTGCAAACTCGAAGGCTTTTGGAAAAGATCGGTTTCAATCCCATGACGAGATGCCGAGAAGCGTGAGATAGGTATTTATGGTGAAAGATGAAGTCTGTGATGAGGTAGGAATTTTGTCTACCGGTCGTACTGTACTTCAAACTTCAAGGTTGCATGCATGCATTTTCAAGGCGTTAGACCTACATTGGGTTTAATGGACATGACGACTCTGGGCGTAGGCTTGTACTGTACTTCAATTTCTTCTATCAACTCAAATCTGCATTCTTCGCTCCTTGAGCCACTGCTTTCGTTCGCTCTCAAACATGCAAACTTCAAACTAAGATCTAGCTGACATCAAACATTAGACAGATAGGTTCGAAGTCTTGCACACATAAAAATTATAAATAAATATGTGTATATGTATGTATTGTCTCTTGACTCATTACTAGCCTACATAGTATACACAATGCCGTTTTACAGTGGGCAAACTGATACAGTTTGTTGAATTGAGAGAACCTGTGGCTCACATGTCACAGATCTGAGTAGTCCAATCTGAATATTCTTGCATGAGCATGGGCTCAAGATCATACAAGTCTTGTCGTTTATCATCGTGGCGTAAATGATGCACATTAACCAGGGAGGTGGAACATTCTGGGGACTTCTTGTGTCGGCTCTACGATACTATATGCGCATAGTACCTTGATGCTATGTTTTAATCTTCCTGGGAAGGTAGGTCCTTGACTGGATTCTGAAACATAACACGCTCAGAGAGAAACTCGCGTTTCACGAGTCTATCTGGATAAGAATTTATCAAGTTGAACATCGAAACTAAGATGGGCGCACGGAGAATGTGCCCAGATCTTCATTGTTCAAAAGATAATAGCAGTGCGTGAACATCCTCACAAAAGACTGCAATGTCCAAATTCGGAATGAATCCACCAGTCATACCATAAACGTAGAGATTCTCAAATTTTAGCCCAGAGAATCTGGAAACAGGGTGAAAAATCGAAGACGATTGTTTTCGCAATATTGACAGGAAAAATCAAAGGGACCTTAGAAAGCTGATTTTTCTAAGAGCTTCATGATGACCCACTGACTGTTGTCGATTTCCCATTGCTTTTTAAGTTCAAGTTCTGTGCTGTACAAAACAATCACGATCAAAATAAAAGAAACTTCAAAAACCTTTACAACCTTTGAGAAGAAGTATTCATTTCTATATTTTCATTTCCTTTGACATTACAGGCGGAAATGAACTAAGTCAACTGTTCCTATTACTCCTATAAAGAAGGAAAGACACGAAGAATATGGTGGAATCTAGTTCTCAAGAAGTATCCATGCTAAGCCCATGACTAAGAGAAATCAGGCACCCGGATCGTCATAGTTCGAAATGGAACAAGTCACCTGGATGTGAATGACATGCTTAGCCTAGGGCGAAGTAATATGACAAAAAGCATAAAGATAAACAAACCTACTTACCGATTTCAGCGGTGAATACCAACAGCTTGTAGTGGGGAGAACGATCCGTGAGATACAATCGAAGCCTCTGTAATCAGGTGATGGTATTATACTACGACTAAGAATAAATGAGCTAGAGGAACAGGTAGTAACATTGATATGTTGGTGATCTTCATCGAACCTTCGGCTTCCTTACAAGAAGTGGAGGAATGTCGTTGACTCTAGGTACCAGAGGGTACATTGTAAGTACAAGTGCTACTTACAATGTAGCAGAGGGTACATTGTAATGCTGAAGTAAGTAACACCTGGACGACAAAGTAACCACTGTGCAAGCAATTACCATAAGAATTGTTTCATTCCACGTTGCAATCGTCCACTGGAAGCTCTTTGGATTTTTCTGCTTCTATGTTTCAAGGCTTTGGATTGGGAGAGTAGGTTTGGCAAGATATTCGATAAAGACTCAAATGTATCTGCATTACTATTATAATAGTGTCTACTACATATGGTTGTGTGCATTGATTAGAGAGTACAAAGAAGGTGATAAACTTAAATGAGTTGAAGGAAATCAAACAGCTGAGTTGTAACACACTCAATTGACCTGTCGAAGTCCTTTTAAAAAAAAATAACTTGTGCATGACTTTGAAGTGATCAACCACGTCGATGTCTCCATTTACAGTTCAAAATCATATGAGAGACTGTTACATCCAAAGTATAATTTCCTGCTACCTCTTATTCACAGCTCGTGTTAAACATGCACAGAAAAGTGGAAGGAGTCTATGAAGTTGTAAGTAAGATGTATCTAACATGCGTGCAACACTTTATGCTGAAATCTCTTATCAATTCCTAGACTGCTCTACCTGAAAGAACAGCAGGCATCCATTACATCAAATCATGCCGTCAAACATAACAAACGCAATCAGAGATAGTTAAAGAATCTCTCAAAGAGTAGTTGGACTTTTATTCTGTCTTCATCAGAAGACAGAGGTTGAGAGAGTAATAAGTGTAGAAAAAGATCCCCCGCATAATCAACTCAAGCATCCCACCCGATGCTGAACTCCTTGATCAATTTCTCAATCATACAAGCCTGTGTACCAAGTTACTTGTCGGGATAATTTGTAAAAGACGACGTATAACTACATCTAAACGTCAACGTATGAAACTTCAACCGGAAATTCGACGCCCAAGCCCTCCTCCTTTTTGCTACTCTCCCACTTGGTCGTTTCCGGACAGAAGTCCTTAATTGTAAGTTTCGGTTCTGCATCTGTAAAGGCACGTATATCTGGGCTGCTCATGTGCCAGTCATGTGATCTGTTTTGTGGTTGATCAGAAAACGATATACGAGATCACAACAGGACGAAAACTACGAGTAGAAACTATAATGTGCTTTCACAGCAAATGCATGCCTTGTGGAATTCTGATTCCAGCAATCACGTGGCACATATAGAACATTCCCCTGATATGGCATGACTCTGTTTTCCATTTCTTTGATTTTGACACTACCGCAGACTGAATACGTCTGTTTCTACCAAACGAAATCGAGGACACTGCACCCAACAGTGGACTACAGTGGACGAAGGACATACCTGCACCAATTAAGACTTGCAGAAAGGTGATAATCTAAAATCTCTCAATGGAGCTGTAAAGTGATAAGGCAAACTTTTCCTTGGTTCGTGTGCCGAGATTCGTACTCTGTATTGGGTCCTTCATAGAAAAGTATGGATTAGTTTGTGCAATTATCGTTTGCTTCTGTACATAATACTTAAACTGCGTACGTTGAAGTACGTGAACTTTTAAGTTCCATGGTTAATTCACCTCACAAAGTCGTCAACTCGGTCACAACAAAGAAATCTTTTACTTTGATTGCGATCCATGAGAGTATATACGCTCGATCACGGTCCTAAAGACTACGATCATGATAAGACTTGAAGGTCTTGTGCAGTGAGAATATTCATTGTGGAGGTACAACAGTACGAGATTGACTTCAACATCCGATTCGACGATCTAGTGTTTCGGGTCAAATTTTCATCCTAGACTTCAGATATGCGGGTCAGTTGTGGTTTGGGTCTTGATTCATGGCACATGCATCTGAAGTGAGCTACAGTCCGAAGACTTGTCGTATTCATCTTCACGTGCTCCGATGACGGCCGTAAGGTCCAAGCCTTCAGATAAACTCTGTCTTATCCCAAATTAAACTCTCCCGTTTTCTTCGATGTTTTCAATATAACTCATGTACAAGAGTAGGCTTAATGTGGGCACAATTCCAATTTGGAGTTCGAAACCAGCAGCGGTGGAAGGACAAAGCTATGACTGTGGTGCTTCTACCTTTGGATGGAGTAAAGAGCTGTTTTATGGCACAGTTTCTGGATGTGTATACCTGTGCCGATATTAGTGACGATGAGGATACAAACATGCTCGCTCAACCATGGCTCTATCGAGAATTGATATCAAGTCTCTTGAAAGTAAAAAATGAATCTATACCGTACGATACAAAGAGAAACCTCTTTCGGCTCCATATCAAGGCGTTAAGTTTCCAGTTATGTTCCTATGCTTGAGCAGAACGTGTAATTTATGTCATTTTAGCGCTTTCTGTCTAAATAATTTCGTGGGCAGCAAGTTATTATGAAGACATGAGCACGGAGGCAACAAAACAGAAGACGGGAAGAAAACGGAAACGAGCAGAAAATGAAAAAACAATTTTCGCAAGAGTCTGAATCCAAAGACTTTTGCCAAGGCTTGGTCAACATACGTAGGCTGCATTATATTCCATATGATAGTTGTGATCACGAGACTGGTGAGCCTTTCCTTGAGCTGAGCTAGCTCGTCAATGATGCACACCAAGATTAGATCGAAGTAGCTCTGAGACTCTGATTTTTCTAAAGTATTGAAGATGATGTCATGCAGGTCTGTCACGTTGATATGAAACCGTGGCGTCACTAACTTTTACAAAACAGCAGTTCATATTCTAAACGAGATGGACTAATTACTATGTGGACAGCAGGTGCCCTACAGAGTAAGAATCCAAATTATGCTATAGGACCGACTGGAAAGAGTCGAACGAACACGAACTGTTCTCGACTGTACGAGGCAATTGTCCTCGAGGTACCGAGCATTGAGTCAGGTCCATTGTACTTGCAAATCTGCTAGATACTTCAGGGTCAGCTCTCCCTCGACCCCATCCCGGCTTTCCCTTCTCTCGTCTGTTGTCAGCTCCGTACTCTGAAGCTCGTCGGCCATACTGATTCGTTGGATTTTCACCTGCTCATTGACGGCTGGATAAGCGAGGAAAAGTTTTTTTCCCATGTCCTGGTTGGTTGGGAGACATGGCACCCCAGTGGCAAATAGTTTAGCTCATGTGCGATCCGACCTCGGTCTCTGTCTTGCCACCATGAAATGTGCAAAACGTGGTAGCTCCCGCAAGCACCTCCGCGCGATTAATCCGATGTTCAGGTTTCCGGTTATCCTCGGGTTGAATATACACAGGGATGTTTGTATTATTAAGTGAGTCTCCCACGTAGTGTTGTATTCACATGCACGTATATACGAATCAAACTCAAACACAATGTAACATATGGAGTTCAAAATTCATTATTGGATCAAGAAATATCATCGATTGATTTTGAAGAATCTGAAATTTATTTTGGAAGATAATGATAATTTTCAAAAAAAGTTTGACTGGTGTTTTGATTGAGTTAAATATATAAACTAATGTGATATCCAAATGTCATCCATGTGACAGTGGAGATTTAGAATAATATATAAGAAAAATGAAAAAATACATAAAAAAAATTTAACTTTTATCTAAAATTATATAATATATAATCAGAAATAATATATATTTATATAGATCTAAATTTTATGTTATAAAAATCCGTCGTGTATAGTGTATTGAAGTGATGCCGAGAAGCATGGCATGCCTTTTGATTTTGAAAGTCACCGTGAGGATGACTCCAAAAAATTTGTTGTGGCTCCCCCGTACGTTACAGTATCCCGTATGTATACTAAGAATTTCCGTGCGTGATTTGGCAACGATCGGGTCAGGTCTTGCGGCTAAAGAATCCACTTGCTCTGGAGGCGTCCATGCGCAGTATATAAATTACGGATGAGGAATGAGTTGTCAAATCCCACAACAAACTGCAAATCAAAGCTCAGATTCGAGACTGCTCCTGGTCGCTCTCAGTACACAGCGTAGAAGGCGAGTACGGATCTCTCACAGACCCACTCCAATATATCGGCGATGAAGCTCCTGGCTGCTAGGATCCTTGCAGCTAGACTACTGTCAGCTTTTCACACTGTTTATGCCGCGGATCCTGACCCACTGCAGGACTTCTGCATTGCAGACCTTGCTGCTGGACCAGTTTCAAATGGATTTCCTTGCAAGTTGCCTGCACTTGCTACCGCAGAGGACTTCGCATATTCTGGGCTTGCTAAACCTGCAGATCCCAGCCTATCTTCGACCGGCGGAGTTGGAACCCTCGCCTTCGTCAAAGAATGGCCCGCTCTGAACACTCAGGGCTTGTCTCTTCTAAGACTCGACATCAATCCCAGCGCCATCGCCTGGAGAGATGTATATGGGCTTCGTCACCAATAATCTCGGCAACGACCCAACCATATCTAACAAGCTGTATGCAAAGGTCGTGAAGAAGGGAGAAGCTTTCATATCTCCCAGAGGTTTGCTACGCTTCCAGCTGAACAAGGGGAGTGTGCTTGCATCGAGTCTGAACTTCCTGAACAGTCAGAATCCTGGTATTCAGATCATGCCTTCAGCTTTGTTCGGAAGTGGCATCGACCGTGAAATGCTGGAAAAGGCATTCTTCATGAATGCGACTCAAGTTGCTGCGTTGGAAACCATATTCCAAGAGTGATACGTCGATTTATTGAATTGCCAGGAGAAATCGTAGACTTTACTGGCATGGAGACAATCTGAGTGACAGGTGTAGGTATTCCTAGGCTCAGTTAAGTAAAAATTTGTCCAACTTCTATTCGATGCAGTTAATTGATCAGATTGGTATGACAATCATTGAACTCATATGCTCAGCCTTTAGTTCATTCGTTACCTTGTCCTCGATGTTTTTTACGTAAACATTCTATACTTGAACAAACACTTCAATCGTCCTGAATTCTACGCATTATGATATCAAGACAAGCATTCAATTATGTCTCAGATGATGGAAGATGAAGTGATTGAGGCACCTATGATGAAAGTCGTTATAATTGACTCACACATCTATGAAATTAAAAAGTTGTTTAAAAGTTTTTGTTTTGTTCCTCATATTCCTTGATGGTTTACATGCAAAGTTTTCAGCAAGTTTCCTCCATTTGCAGTGGCACTTTTGATTCCAGCTCTGCTCTCCAAATGTGAGTTTACTGATAGGTAGATAGATATACACACGTCCGAACCTCTCATGGAGAGATCAAGATATTCAGTTTGTAAACAAGATGTCGTGATCCTCATCAGTATTCTCATGAAATCGTTTTTTAGAGGGTAAAATTATCACATCCTACGAGACACCAACTATAACCAAGGGCACAGTATTTTCCATGATACTTGCTCCAGACACAGTTACAATCTGCTTGCATTGGGAGAGCACACAAAGGATCTTACTTGGATTAGAGCGTAGGAACACAAGGTCATAATGATTGACCAAGTGCGTGCTAGTAACTTATCACTCCCTTTCGCGCTTTCCCATGGCAATTGGCTTAATTGGCTTAAAATGCCTGTGTGTCTAATTAAGAATGAGATTTTGGATATCCCAACTTATGCCAATTTCTTAAACTACTCTGTCACTACATTAAAACCATCACCGAAAGGCCATACGGGGATAAGTGCAGCTACGACTCGAGAGATGAACAACCACCCCGAGCTCAGATTGAATCGGCGACTAGGAACTCACATCAGGCTTGGTTTTATACAGAACATTCCAATCCCCAACATGAACAATGAAATTGCGTGCATGGTGAGAGATTTTCTGCTCTTGTACATGGTATGAAATCATTGGGCCCAAGAGGCTGTTCACATGGTTCGCGAAATTACATTTCATTCGAAAATTTCGATCGAGTATCGGCAGGCTCCATCCATCCAGCAATCTAGATGGCGGTTGCGGGACGACCCGAGGGCCGTTCTCTCCGTTGGTTGGTCGTCACGCAAGCGAGCACAGAAGAGAAGAAGGGGAGCGCTCAGGCACTGAAGTGTGATCCGGCTGATTCTCGCAGCATTAATGGTAACATCATCCGTGACAGGCTCTGACGAAACCCGATCACATTGCACACCTCGAAGCATGAGAGTCCAGCCTTCGTTGGCCCATAGCGCCGTGTTGAATGACGCACAAGAAATTCATACTCAGATCTGCAAGTCCGAGACTCAAAGGCGATACAGTCAACAGACGATGACTGCAGCCCCAACGATGAGCAGACTTCGGGAAGTGTGGAGAAAGCAGGGGCTTAGTGACAGGACTACTGGACAGAACATGACATCGAGATTCCATCATCGAAACACAGAGAGTCCAATCTTTCAGGTCCCGATCGCCAACGTCAAGTGGCTTGCCATGTCCCAGCACGTGACATAAAGGCACGCCTTTAATCATTACACAGGCCACAGTGCCTGCTTTTGGCGCAAATCGCGATGAGAAAGCAAAATCTATCTTCGTGCCGGATACGCCTGATTGTCAATCATCCTCGACTGCGCATGCTTGCACAGCACCGGACCTACGCCCTAGAATGCTACGCCCTTTCGCGACGGGACAACTCACCCTCCACATGTACGCATGGCTGTAAAGCAGCGAGTAGCGTGTTGCAAACAACAGCAGAATTGGTCGTCGTGATTCACACACAGTACGGTACGAATGCACTTCGAAGTACCTCGAATGCTCGGAATTGTTTCTGTCTTAGGATTTACGTCGAAAGTAGTGCTCTTGGTCTGCACTCGGTGACGGACAGAGAACGCACCGCTAACTGAGACAGCGCAGTACTCTAGTCTGGGCTTTCACTCGTTCTGCCAATTCGCAGTCTTCGGGGACTGGATCTCATGGTCCGTGAGGGTCTTACCAATCCTGGACACCCAGCAACTTCTCCTCACCGCGCATCTCAGTCGCACTTACTCCATAGATACTTGCCCTATTATCATCACTCGTCATCTCGGTCGTTGTTGGTGCTATCCTCACCGTTGCAGTCTCCCATGCACGCAGGTCCTCGCGAAAGCATTCATCGTCAGACCATGATCGCATCTCAGACCTTGGAGACGTGTATACACTTTGTACTCAGAATTTCAGTCTCACTGCGGCCATCAGCAGATTCAACTTCAATTTGTCCGAGAAAGTCATTGCTTCCACATCTCGTTGCATGTAACGTCTGCGCTTTGAGGTCAGCACATTCAGAGGAGACAAGGCCAGGTCCACTGTGCAGCGAGACACAGTCTCGAGCTTACGATAGATCTGCCGTCAAAGAGATTGGCACAGAAATTCTAGGCCTAGCTGTTATTTACAGGGTTACGATTCCATCTTCATCTTCATCTTACCTTCAGATGTCGTAGACAATGAGAAGATTGACATATCATGAGCAAGCTTGCAGTTCTCTCAACAACTTCCCTCCAAAGATTTTTCTATCGACGACAAAAGACAGCGAGTCAAATCGTCGGCCGCGATCGCCCTGGAGCCTCGAAAACTCTCCAATGTCCCTACTTCGCCAGTTTTATCTTTTATACGAGTCCATTCGCCATGTGCGAGTACAGACGAGTATCATGTCACTATTGGCAATAGTGTCTTAGTGTTCTTATTGAGCAGATTTACAAGTTAAAACTAATGGTTCTGGAATTTTACGTCACTAATGAGAGGATGTCAGTCGTAAGAGGTGACACTATAGGGAGGTTTAACTCTGTACACAAGTGGCCAACCACCCACCCACAAATGTTTATTAGCAACGAATTTGGTGCCGAGGGTGCCCGAAATCTCTTGTTTAATCCTTGACCCATTGATAGAACGCCGGCTAAAACATGCAGGCCTACAGAACACATTCATTGCACTCGACAGAGGAAATTGGTCTTCTAAAGCCGCATAAAAAAATGGCCTAAATAAATATTACTGGACCAAAAGGTCGAACGCGAAAACATATCAAAGCATTTCTCTTCACTCGAGGAGCAAGGCCACGAGCGATGCCTGAAATCCAGCCTCCACTCCACTCATGGACTGACTGCGATCGGCTTCACTGACGGACTCGCATCCCAAATGATCATCGAACAGCCAAATCCGTACGTATTTCCACATTAGATGATAGTGCATAAGTTTACGTGTTCCTCAGCACGATGGATTACTATATAATCAAAAAAGATCAAAAGAGGCAAATCTAGGCAAGCGTAAGGTACGACTACTGCTGGGGCAGTGAGGGATGTCGAGATGCGCACCTTTCGTTCGTCTTGCCGTAGAACGAGGTCGCGGTGCGGCGTGGGGAACGAGGGCCCCGACAGGTCTTCGACATGCCGTGACGGGTTCCAGAGGTTCCATCCATCCCCTTCCGTCCGAAAGGTGACAGCGACTCCACGATGCGGACCAACATTTTCATGGGTGGATCGGGGACTTCGCGCTTTCCAGTTGGGCCGAGTAAGTATTTTTTCTCGAAAGGAGTGAGATCCGAACTGCACTGCGTCCACCCGAATCGAGAAGTCATTTCGTTAGAACAACTGCAGAACAACTTGGTCTGTAATTGCAAAGATCAACAATCGATCGACCAACATTCAAAGCTCGATCAACATTACAAAGCACGTGTTTGGTATGGAAGTAGGAGCTCACATGAGTTCGTTGTCGAAGGATAGTTCTCCAATTCAGGCTGGCAAGGACATTCTCACAGGATATGTTACTCTTCAACTTTGAAATGGAACCTGCAAAATACTAAAAGGAGATTCCACTCATTATGCCCACCATAGGCATGGACACACATTCACAGGCCTATGTACGTTCATACTTTTGCTCTGTTTTTTGTGCCTCCTTTCACCGGCTTGGCAAAATATGACGTGTTTGTCCTCAGGTGTGGCATATGTTCTGTTCTGTCTTGCATGATGGGTTGTGCGAATTTTGAAAAGCACTCGGATACAAGAAGATGATGATGTGAACTACGACGCGCACTGCTCTGTTCTGTAAACTGAGAATGCCATGACGAAGCCAGAACTGCCCCACTTAGAGAATCCCATCAAGGAACGGAACTGCGACCACTCTCCATATGACAAAGATGTTTTAACTACCCTCGATTTCCTTCGAATGAAAGGTGTCCGTCATCCAAATGGACGTGTCGAAAGAAAGCATTCATTGCTAGATTTTATGACCTCTTCAAAACCCGAAGAGCCAGAAACGTAATGAGCTAGCTCTCTTCGAAACGGAAATGGCGAGGAAAATTGTTAGCTGCTCCTCGCCGATGGAACTGGGTAACAATCGGAAGGATGCTTACAAAGCACAATCAACTGAAAGTGATAGTTGATTTGTTGAAATAAGAAACCTTCCTTGAAAATTGGAGAAATTCACGCCTTAAACTGTAATCACAAATAAGATCCTGCTGTTCAATAAATCCTGTAAATATCGAACACGAAACAACGAAATCTCATGCTTGCGTGAATAAACAGTTGTCGTGCGAAGGCATTGAAAGGTCCACTTATTTAAGTATTGAATAGAATTTAACAAATACGATAACTACCGGTAGCAGTGTAGACTGAGTACGTCAACTGAGACGAAGGAGTGATTTGCCTGTATTTGAAACAGCACTAAGCTCTATTGCACCCAATTCTATGTTGCTTTCTCATCTTGATTATCACAGCATTCGGATGCTTCATGGAGTGGTATGTACTGCACATCGTTCTTTGGTGTCTTTCCGCTGTCAGGAGGATATTGTCATCCGTACGAATACGTCGAAACACATGATGTTTAAAATGTTCTGTTGTTCTAATCCCTCACTCGACGGACTCAGATATGTACCTTAAGAGACTCTCTTCTTGCTCAATGTTGGTGTAATATGAGTGAAACGTTCTGATCTCCGTTATGGAAAGATATATTGGCTTCACTCCTTTCTGAAAATTCTTTGAAAGAGACTACCGCCTTTCAGATTGATTTGAGTTGAGTATGAACCCGCCTCCAGCCGACTGGTAACTTCTAGTGGACCACGATGTCGATGCTCTGAAACTGAGACGGCATTATCTGATCTAGTACTATACCTTCGGATTCCCAAGCAAATACCGCCTTTCCGATTGGCCCGGAAGCTCGAATACCTGACTGAAATTTTCGAGGCAACTTGCAGTCGCGAGATCTCTGGTGGTAATTTCATATTTTGCACGTCGGGAAGAAACTCAGAAGAAAGAAGAAAGACTTGTGATTATCAACTCTCTTGAAGTCTTGTCAATACTTCAGTATTGGTTACAGGCGAGTGGGTTTTTTCACAGAACAAAGGTTAGTGATTCTGTGATTTTAGTCTAGCCTGAAAGTGAGAATGAAATCAAATATATGATGTCAGAATCAAATTTAATTCTAGAATATGATTACCTGGAAGCAAGTGTAATCTCCATATTACTATGTTAAGTGACTATGTGGTTCCACTTTCTACATGTTTTGTTTAAGCAGAAGATGACATCAGGAAGTTAAAAGCAAAGGCTTTCTATGTAGCCCTTACGGTAGGCAGGAAATAATTTATGTCTCTGCTAGCGGGAAAGAATAGTAACGCGAAAGGTAAATACATATATGTGAAGTGGCGAGGACCCCAGTAAAAGATACCGAACTTCCCATATGAGAATAGATTGTAGTCAATATCTTGGTCGATTTGTCAATCCCAAGTTCTCTATGAGTTTCTCTCTACTCAGGAAAACTTGGGTTGACAGATCGACCAAGATATGGACTAGAGTTAATTGCTTATAGCTTTGGTCGCCCAAACTTCGTTCGATTGATGGTTCGAATGTAGCGAACATCTTGGGCGAGGATTCAGATAATTTTCATCCGTGTAAACTCACGCACATTAGCATAGTTCCAGATGGAATGTGAAACTGGATAATTGTGCTCTGTAGTTGATTTGATACTCCAACATATATCCCGGAAATAACCTTTTTATGACTTTTGATAATCTGATCTAGCCTACTTCATTCCTAATATAAATTCAGGAGGCCATTCTTGGATTCTCGCAATCAAGCAATTGTCACCTTTATAGTGTTTTGGTACATGAACTCTCTTGTCTCCAAATTAAAACATGCTTTAAACCATCGAAAAATACGTACAATCAATCACATGTTCCAAGGAAGGAGCAGACTTGTAGAAAAAATTTAGCGCATGACTTTTTAATGACATGCGATCAAATCAGTTTTTGGGAAAAAGGTCCATGTGGAGACACTTCTAATCTTTGTTTGATGGGTATCTGTACCAGGGACGTAGACGTATGTGTGACAGATACAGTGCAATCTAAAAACGTTCTTCAACTACGGCTGCTAATAGCAGCAGGTGATTCAGCGGTGCAGTTGACTATAACAGCAATGTTAACCTGGTCTGAACTTTGGCTGTTAATACAGCACATAATGCCCGTGTACGTTATCGTGCTCGGGTCATATGTGCTAAACAAGTGGGATATAATCTTACCAGAGCATGGACCAGGACTGAAAAGCTGGGTGTCGACGTTAGGAGTGCCTCTGTACACTTTTCATCTACTGGCATTCAGTGATCCTTACCAAATTAGTTTCCAGATAATTGGGGCTGATGTGATCCAGAAGGTCCTTGCCCTACTTCTGAGTGGTTTGTGGTGGAAGTTTTCAAAATCTGCAAATATAGATGGTTTTATAGCTTTCTTCATGCTGGCCACCCTCCCGAACACTGTTCTAGTAGGTGAGGCTTTCCTAAAGCCATTATATGGAGAGGAAATTCAAGGGTCATTGGTCACTATCATCTTTCTTCAGAGCTTAATATGGTACAATATATGCACAGTATTTTATGAGCTCAGGGTAGTGCTTCAAGATCTCAAGGAAGATTCCGGGCAACCCCAAGATGTTCCAAAGCCTGAGTTAGTTCTATCGAGCAGGAGGAATCCAACTTCAATTCCGACAAACGGAGAGGTTCTGGACACAAATCATCTACCGATGGACGAGGATTGTGAAGATCTTGAATCGGATATCTTGGAAAGGTTCCGGTCATCAGGTCAAGGAGTTGATGATCACCTTTCAAGAAATTCACAAAATCAAGATCCATCTACTCACGAGATACAGCAAACTCTCTCTTCACCAGGAAAGTGCTATTTATTGGATAGAGGTATTAATGAGGTCAAGCTCACATCTCCAACAACGATAAAGACTGGGTATTGTGGGACTGACGATGAGACAAATGGTAGTAATTTTCTTCAACTATAACTTTGAATGTTAGAACACACCGACATGAACCATTTATCTTGGTGTTTCCAATTTCATCTGCACAAAGACTATGGGTGTATGTGGAGACAGCTTAGCAATTATGCATGGAAAGTTTCCTTTAAGTATGATATAGAAGGCTGATTAACTTGGAGTAATGAATTTAGCACTGATAATGCAGAAGAAAGTAGTCGTCTGGAAGATTCTATAAGTTTGCCAATATTAGTTTACAAACATCTCATGTTAGAAAATATTCATTGACCCTGTTTTAATCCCCCAGAGTTTCTCGTCTTTCACGATCTACCCGATTAAGGTTGCTCTTGTCTCCTAGCATTCAACACAGTTCTCTCTCCTCTAGGAGCCACTCTGATTTCTGAGGCAATGTCGGTTATGCAGGTGTTGACCTCCATGCTGATGCGGTTGAGAGAGATGATGTAGGTTCACAGAATGCTAAGATTCGCTTTATCATACACAAAATGCTAAATCGATTGAAGAGGGTTCCACTGACATATGCAAGTATTCTTGGCTTCACGTACTCGATGTTGGCTTTTAAGTAAGAAGTTCCCTCAACCCATTTAGTTAAGAATTTCATTTTCTTGAGGTCTTTGTAGTATAATCATGTTCATTTTGTTAGACTTGTCTTGCAAGGGGTTGGAAAATAACAAATTTTAAGAAGATTGCTGTAAATTCAGAAAAGTTTCTGTTGAGTTTGGATCGCCTTATATTCGAATGTCATTTGTAGTACGCTTCTTATTCCAGTAGAACACGAAGAACTTCTAGTTATTGTTGATCACTTCAGGTACAAAGATTAGATAGGGAGCGTGCACCCCTTCCATTCAGACGAGATCAGACCTGGTTCTATTGTTACGTAACTTGACCATGTAGATATCACTGGGAAATGCCCTATCCGGTGAGGACTTCAGTGGAGCTTATAAGTCAAGGCTGTGTTGGGATGGCCCTTTTCCTACTGGGTACGTTGCCTTTTCAAATAAAGTTGGACACAAAGCCATAGTTTGTTCTGGTGGATGGTGACTTCCACCTTCCACCAGCGATGAATTTGTGTCCTTTTCTCTTATGAAATGTTATGATGATGCTTGATACGTTGCGGCCGCCTGGTCTATTGTGTTGAAGTAACATCTCGTGCAGGAATGCAATGGGCCAGATCTGGACAAGATTTACTACCTGGTGGATGGAGGGCACTTCTATATGGCATGCTAGTAAGGTTTGCTGTATCTCCTGCGCTTATGCTCATTGCATCACTCAGTGTTGGGTTAAGTGCAAATCGACCTGATTTGCGGTTTGCAGTTCTTCAGGTAAGGTCCAGATCAGCATATTTTTCTCCTAAGTTGTACTGTACATGATGTGAAATTGAAAATTGTACAAACTTGAGAAAAAAGTAGGTCGGAAAGTAACCTGAAAATTCAGTATGTCTCACAGGCCGTGCTACCGCAAGGAGTTGTATCTTTTATGCTTGCTAAGGAGTACGGCGTCGGCGTCAACCTTTTCAGCACAGCGTACGCTTCCAAATTCAAATAGGGGTTTTTGCATAAATCATACTTGTTAACTTCACAGCAAGACATTTGCATGTTGAAGGCTTTATAACAGCTTTGAAATGGATCTGTGGTTACTATGTAATCTACGGGTAATGCACGTTAAACATTGTACCTCAGCTGAATGTGGAGTTCTGAAGAGGACCATCGGTTAGTTAGCTGGTGATGAAGGTGTATACAATTGGGTAGTGGCATTCGTACTCCAGCAAGTAGCCCGAATTTGCTATAATATCGGGGAAAAATCATGGCAATTGATCTCTCCAAAGTCCCGAGTGTTAAGGTCAGAGGGAAGTATATAACTAAAGGGGATTTATATGTGAGTAAATTAGGTTGAAGAGTTTGAAATTGAAAACGCAATCAAGAAATCATCAATCCTGTTCTAGGCTTCTTCAGGTTTCTCATAAGGTTTTGTAAACTAAGTAATAGACTAGAAGAGTGCACAAAGTCTCAACTGTTTGCCGTTAACGGTGTTGCAGGGTCGTAATCCAGCTCCTCATATTCGTCCCGATCGCAATCTCCTACTACTACGTCCTGGAGCAAATTTGAACAGGTATTGGTGATACTTCCTTCCGGATGCGACAAGGGTTTTGCAATTGGATCAGTCAAAGAGTGGCAATCAATTTAGACAAGAAGACATTGCAGTCAACGACATCCTGATTGAGTGTACATATTGGTTTTTAGAAACAACATGTACAGTACATTCATGTTGCACATCGTGCCCCGGGATGCTCTCATTCTTTGGTGACTCATTCCTTTGTGATGTGAGAGCCCACGAAGACTCAGATGTGAGTGTAGTATGTTGGCAATTATCCAGAACATTTACTCCATACTGAAATTTAACTGTGTACATACACTGTCTTCTCGTACATGCAGACTGCAGGACTAAACATGACCAGATTTGATTCACAATGATCTCACCGATTCACAGTGAAAGAACCTTGTAGTCTTGAGACAAGTGCTTACGGTGCTCTTAAGAAACGCAGCGTTAGTCTTTCACCCAGAGGTTGCTCACGTATCTCTCCTGGACATTGCACGCTTCGCCAATTGTTATGATACAGATAGATGCAAATGTGTACTGAAAGTGACACGAAAATAACGAGAGAAGGTAAGAATCGCTGGAATTAATACAGTTCCCACTAAAGTTTAGAAGGTTTCAGTCACGTACCCATCATAAACATTATGTGTTATAGTTTTTGTGATCTAGCTGAGGTCCACACAGCAATTCAAAACCAGATTACATACAGAACTTTTGCCTTCCCTGTTCCATTTCTGATACCATGAGCGTGTTGGAGATGCGCAGCAAATAAAGTATTTACTCTGAGGCGTAATGACATGTGTGGTTGTAATAACAACCACACATGTCCAATGTTGACAGGTTGAATCTACCATATTAGGCGCTAAGCGAGCAGGTTCTCTGTGAGTCGAGTAGATAGTTCGAAGCATACACAATATGTGAAACATACTGCTGTGTGATTTCGTTAATTGAAGATACTCTTATAAAAGATACTCTAGTACTTTCTTATAAAAATTCATGGCAGGAAATTTGAAGCCCCAAGACCAAATCACCCTTCTTTCGCGGTGATCCCATAGGCTTCACTTTCACCTGTAAAGCCAAAAGCATGCGGAAGAGTTTTAAAGATCCAAAAACACAAGCCATGAGCAGCAAAAATTTTTTACTAATAGAGCCAATCTCAAAGCTCAATTCGCCTTGAAGTAGTATCAAAATGTACACTCTACTAGTCACCTTCTGTGACTTGTCGTCCTTGGCCTAGAAGAAGGGGCCTAAAGAGCTAGATCGAAATGTCGATTCTAGTAAACAGATGTTACGCGCGGGCCTATCTAGGCCCGCGTGCCAGAATATTGTACGTACAAACCGATGGACTCCGGGCATAAGACGATTGTCAATCCCATATGTACAATAAGTCGCCGTTTGGTGAGATCTCCTCGACTTGGATGTGCTACCAGGTTGATCAGTGTCACTTTTGCACTTTCTTAAACGATGATGCCAGAGCATCACTGGGCTGTTCAATCACGAACGCTTTTGCTTCAAAAGGAGCATGGACCTGTAGACCTGTTACCATTTCAGCAGATCATGACAAGCTGGAACTTGGACCAAGCTTCCGGTCTGCCAAAGGCATGCATGCCTATGAAGGAGGTTGAATGCTAATCTATGATTTTCGGCATATGAGCGAGGATATCGTCACCTGGTGGACCAATGTCAGCAGGCACAATAGTATGTAAGATTGCTCTTCTTGTATGCTCATCTCCAGAAACCGGTACTTCTGCAAGATCGTAGACGATTCATCCATGACTGCTTGCATACAGGTAAAGTGCAGTCTAGAAATCATAACTTTTAAGCTTTATTACACTGAATGAACTATCGGCCATCTACTCTGAAGCCCACTCCAACCTGCAAGGCATCAGGGACAAATTATTAGCTGCTATCAGGTACTTCTATGGTATATTCGTGCAGTTCGTTCTCCCTCCAGCCAAAAAGTATTCACACAAAGCTCTGCTGACGGAGAAAGGACTCGAGAGTATATCCAAAAAAGAACTGGCACATGAGAACGTGTCCTGGTTCTGGAGTATTTGATCTCTAAGGCTAGTGATTTCAATGATCCGAACGCAGGTGTGGAGAAACAGCTGCATTGTGGAAAAAAGACGAGGTCAATACACTGTTTCTCAATCCTACTCATTGCTTCATACCCGTTTGAGTATTCTGTAAAAACCAGGCAGATATCATCATCACGGCATAACATCTTCAGGGAGATCTACAACGAGAGGTTTCAAGCAAGGACAAGTCACAAGTTAGGCAAGATCGATGTTGGAGAAGCGTAGAAATTACGGACCTGAGGAAGCGATCCAGAGACAGAAGTAGCAGAGGAGGATAACCAATGGGATCATGTGGATGCAATTCTCGGACTGAAACCTTGAATCTCTTTTCATTGCCTTCTCCATGGAATACGACCTTGGGTTCATAATATCCAAGATGGTCACACCACTTGCGCTTCTCGGCATGATAGTGGTTCCATTTGTTCTCCCATTGACAGGTGTGACTCCTAGAGACGTAGATGTGGATACAGCCACCAGGTCCTCCACAGAAAGATTTACGTGCATGCTGTGAGAGCGCTGCATCTTGAGAAGGAAGAAATATCAGCGAGACTGAGTTATCCTGACTCTACACTTATGCTCTCTCTCTCTCTGTCAAACAACGACGCACACCAGCGATCGATCGACAGACAATCTGGCATAGAAAACGAACGAGACTGTCAGAGCGACCGACCGAGGTGAGGCCTCACTCGAGGAGAATGGCTCAAACGAGCTGGCAAGAAGAGCCGCAGGGCCAATGTTTCTGCACAGGTGCCGCAAAGCCCGAGGCAGGGGTGGACTGGACGCCCGAGAACGACAGTTAGTGATTCAGGCAAGATTTGGACAACGAGGACATGCTCTTCCCAGTAAGGAGTAGAGGTAGAGGCAGGACAGCAAGAGCACTGTCAGCTAACAAAGGAAAGACGGAGAAAGCCCTGCGGTTTATGTAACCTCTACAACAGCTCGAGCCGTTCTGAAAAGCAGTCGAACGAACAGCTCGTCCTCCCTCTCTCCCTCCCTCCCTCCCTCCCTCCTGACTCGCTCTCCCTCCCTCTATGTCTGTGCTGTGAGCACGACACCACGTAGGTCGACACTAATCTTTTCGACACGATCCGCTGCGACGCAGAACTCAACTCCAAAGATTCGACCGAATCGACAGATTCGAAAGATGCGAGAGATTTTCGTCTCTGACAGAAGGACAACGTGTTGAAACTAGCAAACATGGCACGGGAAGTCAGAAAAGTGTTGCATCAATCCACGGCATTTCACTCCTCGCCACTCTTCTCTTTTCTGCTATTTTCCTCCCGCTCTCGCCTGTCTTCTCCCGTCTCGTCCCGCCCTCCCCCTCCCCTGCCCTGCCCTGCCCTGTTGTGCTGTGGCCCTGCCTGCTGCTCTTGTGCCCCGCAAGGCCACTAGGCCATTTTAATATGCCGCTTCCAAGATCGATTTTAAAGCGAAAGCAGCACAGCAACAGCAACTGCAGGCCGCAACAGCACCTTCTCGTCAGGCGCAGCTGCGACTCTCTCGGCCTCGTCCTCCTCCACCTTCTTCTCGTCCTCGTCGTCGTCGTCCCCGTCCCCGGGTTTCATGATGCCGCCACCAGCTCCCTCGCTCCGTCCTTCCGCTTCCTCGTCCGTCCCGCTCGCTACGTCCTCCTGACAGACAGACAGACAGACAGAGCGACCGACCGGCCCAAATGTACCTCGCCTCCTTCCGCGGCCTTCGTCCTCGTCCTCCTGCTCCTGCTGCTGCTCTCGTCTTTCAATCGGGTGCTCGCGGACTCTGTGCGTCGCTCGGTCCGTTTCTCGAGCTGCGTTCCGTTCCGTTCACTTCACTTAACTGCTCTGCGCGATTCTCCCGCTCTTCCCTTCCGGCTCCTTCGTTTCCGGCTCTCCTATGCGGTACGATCTGCTATACGGTGGGCGGCGTCTTTTGTAGATAGATACTTGTCTTATTTACTACTACTTATTTGAAGGTTGACTTGACTGACTGACTGACTGACTACGTTGGCTATGTGGTAATATTATCTATCTTGGACAAACAACACAGATTATATAAAAACCTGTTCGAAACACCGTTGATTTTTCAAGATTATGTGATCTCAAATATTTGTGTGCTTGGTCGTTTTATTTTGGCTGACAGTTTCTAACTTATTTCTAAACACTGTTTTATATTTAAGTGTTCAATTTTTCTAATTTATATCATATGTGATTAGATTAATTAATTAATACTATATCTTCATCTTCACTTGTTTTTTTCTTTTCATCTTCTCTGTGTTTTTTTCTCCTTCCATGAAAATAGATGACAACGTTACGTTTGTCTCAAACCACGTAATTTATTCATAAGAAAATTAGAGTTGGAATTTTTTAATGTTTTAGATCGGTTTTTTAGAGATATTTATGTTGATACATGTTTTAATCTAGTGGTATCTATGTCTGATTCGTGGTGAAGAGAAAGGAATAATAAATTTATCTCAACCTATCGAAGTCTCATCGTTGAGGCCACAGAACAGAAGAACTGTGCTCCAACGCAGTTCCAGACCGCAATTTCGTCGGGCCGAGAAACCGGAATCGCGTTATTCTCATAATGCGGCCTTTCACCGGAAACAATTCCGGCGGCCCACTGACAGTTCATCGGAGTCGGCGGCCACTCTCCGTGACGGGCAAGTTCTGCGTCGTGAATGTCAATCAACTTCAACGAGGAAGTCAAACGCACAGTTCTCCTCACGCCGGCCCGAGGCTGACGCCCACAGGTGCCACGACGCCCGGCAGCCCGGGAAGAGAAGTTTGACGTTTGACCCATCGATTGACCGGCTGACTGGCAACTGCAAGTGGACAAATGTCCAGGTCCAGAATGTGATCTCGCAGAGATACAGTATAATGACAAACGGTTTGTCCTCTTTGTCTGTACGCTTTTGTTTTCGCCTTTCGTGCTCTCTTCCCTTCGCCATTCTCTTTTTAATCATTTCACTTTTGGCTGGGCTGTCGAGCCATCCGCTGAACCTCACCACGAGAGGCAGCTCGGGGTTGATTTGATTTCTGTACCGCAAAGTAGTACGAGTAGTTAGGAAAGTCTCGTCCCACATCATTCGGAGGAGACGCCGCAAGTGAGAGGAGTGTGAGTCTAGTTCTTCGTCCATTGTAGGCATATACTTCGGACGAAGCAAACATAATTTCTTGAACAAAAATTAACGAACCTATAAAAATATACAGATATTTTGTGGTCATTTAGTTTCAGATAATTTTTTCCTCAAACTGTTCAAATGTGTTTCATGTTGTGATTCTATTGACATCTAGTTGAAAATAATGGATATCTTATATATATTGTGATTTTTTTCAAAGCATTTTGCGTTTTCATTGTTATTGTATACCATTGTGACACAACACGTCGAATGTTCATGTGAAAATATTATGAAGTTTTGATTCTGAAATTATTTTTGTTAATTCCAGCTGATTTCTTCAGTGTGGGATCAAGTATAAAGGAAAAAGATACATAATATGAAAGTCTCATCATCACTGATTGGATTAATTATCCACATATAGAGTATGGGCATAGAGGTCATGATCAGATCACTAATTTATTTATGTATATCACACATATGTTTATCATGTTAGTAATCACATATAATAAGCTAATTTTTTCATTAAAAGTTAAGTTTATAGAAATCTCAATTGAACGAAATCAACATTGAAGACAACTTTGTAAACAAATGTTGTTGAAAATAGTTTATTTAATTCTTGAAAATCTAGAAAAAATTTATTAAGAGAAAAAAATTTTACTTGATAAAAAACCTTACTTCGTTTATGCAATATTTACACTTTTCAAGATGATAAATTCTAATACTTTCGGATATTGCCAAAAAAAACTCATTTTTTCAAGTAGTTGATGTACGTGATTGCATAAATTGCAAGATTAAAGATTTATTAAATTTTACTCAATTGCTAGATACTCGTGAAATTTGTTTGTTAAATTAAATAAAACTAAATATATTGCTCTATTGAAATGAAGGAATTTTTTTATAATGTATTAGTTAATTTATATAACATGAAAAAAAATTATTCTCATATTATCAATTTGATTATATGTTTTATATGTTTATATTACACATTATTGAGATTGTTGATATGATATTAATGATTCAGCTAAAAATTAGTTTACTTTTTTAGTGAAATAATTAATTGATCATGGTTATATCAATTTTGATAAATCATGATATTCATAAAATTTGGAGAAAATATCATATTAAATATGAGATCACTTATAGCTAATAAATATACAACAGTTTTTGATTTAGAGGATAAAAAAAGTGTGAATGAGGTGAGTACAAAAAATGATATAATTATCAGTTAAGAAATAAACTGTATATATTCATAAGAATAATTCAATGTTATCATCAACATGTTTTTTTTCTAATTTTCATAACTTTCTAAAACTGATTTACATAAATATTAGTAATTTTTAAATTATTTTTTCTTACATGTAGATTTAAATATATATTATTATTTGCATGATTTTAATTTTCTTTAATAAGCATATAAATTTTTTAATCATCACTTATTTATTATTTAAGTATAAATTTATCATACTTATATTTTAGAAAATAAGTGTTATTTGAAAAATTACAAGTGTGTTTTTGAAAAAAAAAACTCAAGATTTTTTATTTTTTTAATTTGGTAAGATGACAGAATAGTTTATTTATATTGATCATGACCGAACAAATCTTTGTGGCCATCATGTACACCTAAGTATACAGAAATCTAACTATGTATGGAATACTGTGCTAAGTAGTTTAATAGATATACATATATCATAACTGTACTCTACATGATGTGCATCTTCCCATTGGCATGTTAGGATTAAGTTAACCGCCAAAACCGTCACCGGCAATTTAGAAGGTTAGGGTTCGCCAACTTCAGTTATCACTAATACAAATAAATTTATGATTAATATATGATTTTTGTTTGTTAAATTTATATTTATATTTATTATTTTCAAATGATATTCAAATCTTAGCAAATTTTTTATATATATAATGAGCTATATTTTTGAAAATGAATCAAACATAAAATTAAAACATAAAATCAAATTGAGAAATTTAAAAAATCATGTTGATAATAAAAAATTTAAATTATCTTTTTAATGAGATATAAAATATTGATTATTGAATGAACTATTATTATTAAATTTTATATCATAAGAATAGGTATTTAATTATTTTCTAAATATAGCTAATAATATATTGTGATGAATGCATCATAAAAATATATGAATAATTTACTTATATTTAAATACTCCTCAAATACTTTTTATATTTACTTGTGCCCGTATAAATATTTCTCATATCTTTTTTGAGGAGATGATGAAATGCAGCATTCAAATTAATACTAATTTAGCAATTGCTCTAAAATTCCGTGCCTAAATATGGTATCAACAGCAAAATTACCTAGAGTTGGATGTAGAAGAAAATTGTCTGCCAGAAATAGATCTCTGATTAGAGTATGTGCATGCAACTCAGAGATCGTGACTAAAATTACGAAACTGAACAAAATAACTGTTAATCCATCAAACACATCAAAATTTATCAAAATATTGATTAAAAATGTAAAAATTATATTTTTGTAAGTATTTTTTGCAAATTTATAAATAAACCTAAAGTGTAAATAACATATAATTATTATAAATGTTTTGGATCTTTTGGGTTCAAAGTACAATGAATAGATAAATGTATTGTGCTTGAAAAACTACAAGTTGTTTCAAAGGTCAGAAAAAATGTTTGAGATCTAAGATCCAAAATATCATGATTGCACAAGAGTTTTTTTTAAATTGCTTTAAATAAAAGTTTTAAAATAAACAAAAAGTTTTTAATTTAATTGTTCAATTTAATTCAATGCAATTTAATTTTATGACTTCTACAATTTCATTATGATGATCAATGAATACATTTTTTTAAATTTTGATGTTTAGGTTAAAAATTTTTATTTTTATTTTTATTTTTTCT